GTGTGCTCCAGATGCCCTCTCTGTCCTATTCACCTCCCTGTCCTCCTCTCCTTGTCCTCCTCCCTGTCCTCCTCTCCTCCCTCTGCTCCTGATGTCCTCCTCCCCTCCCCGTCCCCCTCCCCTTCCTGTCCTCCTCTCCGTCCTCCTCTCCTCCCCATTCTCCTGTCCTCCCTGTCCTCCTCCCTTCTCTGTCCTCCCCTCCATCTCCTCCCCTCCTCCTCCTCCTTTCCCCATCTTCCTCCCTGTCCTCCTCCCTTCCCCGTGTTCCTGATGCCCTCCTTGTCCTCTTCCCCTCCTCCTCTCCCCGTCCTCCTCCTCCTCCTCCCTGTCCCCCTGTGCAGACTCATCACATCATTTAACTCAGACCTTTTTTAGCTCTGCGTGTAAGAGCTGACAGAGCGCTCCTGACACTGTACGGCTGAGCGTCTGACAGCTGCTGGTCAACGCTAATATCAAGGACTTTCTTAGGCATTTTGTAGTACGGCATTAAACTATATGTCCTGCAGTTAATTAAACAAAATGTGTCATCAAAGTGGCTCGGTTACTGTTTTCAGCTGCAGATTTCAGCTGAAAACAGTGTAATCTTGTAATCTGCAAAATATGATTTTAGAAGTAATGGTGCGATTCGACTGACCAGACAGACAGAGGCTCTTTCTGCAGGAGACATGCGCAGTAGAGCATAAGTCACAGATAGGGATGGGCATTTGATAAAACCGATCTTAATCTATCGTCGGGAGAATTAACGATCGATTATCGATTAATCATTAATGTTTTTATATTAAAATGATCATCATTATTATTACTATCTGCAAAACTAATCTGCATAAATAAATTCAACTTTACGACATATAAACCGTAACGACTCTAGAGCCACATCAGCCCGTTTGACATTATAATGTGTTTAATTCAGTTTTGTGCAACTCTCACAGAAACAAAATTTAAAACCACATGACTAATTTGCATAAAGCAAAGAAAAAAACAGCTCTTGTGTCGCTGATGTGGTTCAACTTCTGTCGGATTAAAGGACATGACTCAGGTGAATACAGGTTAGTGTGACCATATTTCCATTTGTCAAAACCAGGACATCGTACGGGGGGTGGGAGGTGGGGACTCCTCATCGACATTGAGCTACTCTCACCTGGCAAAACTTTTTAATGTTTTTCGGTGTCCTAATGAACTTTGAGGTCCCTGGCTCCCTCACTGGACACCGAGACATATGTGCCTGCTTTACCCACTGTGCACATGGACTCACATGGAAAACAGGGAATTTCTGGTACAAGTCATTGTTAAATGCACATTTGAGCTTCGACATGTTGCAGGCCGACTGACTGTTTGTGTCTGCTCACACCTTCTGAGTGCCCATTTGCATCACTTTACAAAAGAAAACCCGGACGGCCAAGACAGGATGTGAAAAACGGACATGTCCGGGGAAAAACAGACATTTGGTCTCCCTACGCTACGCACAGCAACCTACATTCGGTTTGTCGATTAAAAATGAACATAATCAACGAAATTCTTAATGATCAGTTATTGATTAATCAACTAATCATGCCCATCCCTAGTCGCAGGAAACAAAGGGGAAAAAGTGTGACTTATAGTCCAAAAAATACTGTAAATTCTCTGCTCTAGTGTGATGTTTGGCGATCCATCGGAGGGGCCCCCAGCACGCGGCGCTTTGTTTCGATGACGTTTTCGATGACGTCAGCTCCCATTGGGCATCACAGATTTCTCACGCAGAAATCAGCGCACTTGTTTCTTTTACCAAGTCATGGAAAATTATTTTTGTGTTTTTTAGAGGTCCACATAGCAACATGACAGTGATCCACAGGTGTCGTAGATTATAACAACAGGAGACAAAAGCACAATATGAAAATGTCAAGATCAAGATGGTCAAAGCTGTCACTCTAATATGTGTGCTCTGCAGAGAAGTAGATCTGCCCTGGTCTTCTGGATTATATTTTTAAACCTGTTTACCACATGGCTGCAAAGAATGATTATAGTTGTAGACTTGACAACTTCATTTATGTAGGGAATTCTCACATTTTAGAGTCTGTTTACGGCCTAAACGATGTGTGTGCATAATTCTGCTGTTAATGAAAAACAAAACCACGATGAATCCAGGTGTGACGTAAAGTAAATCCTCCACAGACACGTTCCGAAGTGCCTCTTTTAGTTTCTTTAGTAGTCGTCTCTGAAATGTTAATGGTCTTGAATGAATTGTTGGCTAAAAACAGATCTGATTGGAATATTTGTGGTGATGTGTGCGGATCCAAGTCCACCTGGAGCTGTTAACATGCTGCGCGGGTGTGTGTGCGTGGTTCTGTGTGTGTGTGTGTTGTGTGTGTGTCAGACAGTGCTCTGCTAATGGCCGTCCTCGGGGAGATGGGCCTATGAATAGAACGCTATTTACACATGCATCATTTATTACATCACTTAATTCTGCGCTCACAAATTCGCGTTAATTACTCAGCACTGACTGCACAGTTTACTGCCCAAACTTTTACTCAACACACTCTTTTATTGTTCTTGTTATATTATACGTGGCACAAGTGAAACATTTGGTGTGATGAGTTAAAAGAACAAGATCCCAGAAATATAACAGAGAAAGTAATTGTTAAACTATGGACTTTTCAGACTTTTTTTTTCCCATGTTACATTTATTTTCCCTCACATTTTCTCACCCAAACTTGTATTTGTCGTGATTTGTGCGTGCTTGAGCCATCTTTAATCTCTATTATTATTTTCAACACCCCATTTTGTCGACAAACCCCTAAAAATGCTCTGCTGTTCTGTGACGTGCAGATATCCGTAGGAGGGGCCCTCAGCAGGTTGTGATGGTGTTTAGGGCGACGTCAGCTCCCACTGGACTCTGCAGTGATCCTCATGTGTCATAGTTTATCACCGTAGAGCACACACAAACACACTTTGTCTTCTTGAATGGATAAACATATTGCCGAGAAGTCTGTGCCTCTTTGAGAATCAGTGGATTTGAAGAGACAAGATGTGTTTTGTTTGAAAATGATCAAACTGAAAATGTGAATGTACCACCTCAAAAACAAAAGTGAGACCAAACCAACTCTATTAGTAAAAAAAACAACAACAAAAAACAAAAACAAACTCTGACTAATCAGTCCTTTTCTACGTCCACAGCCACATCTGCGTCTCTCTTCACTCTGAGCATCAGAAACTGCTCAGCTAAAGTACTTTGAGCTTTATTGTGCTGGAGTCAAAATACTCAACTAAAATACAACAAGTAAAGTGCAAATACTCAAGAACTGTTCATGTACAAGTGAATGTACTCGGTTACTTTCCTCTCTGCACATCTGGCTGGTGCATTGTTGTTGACTGGTCAGGAGTGTCCAGAGAAAACCATCCAGACACAGGGAGAAAATGCACCTTCCACACTTTAATAGGCCACGTGCTTCTGGAATTGAACCTGTGCCCTTCTTGTCGCGAGGCCACTCTGCCACTGTATTCAATAATAATAAATCCAATGTGTCCATTTAGCTCATCAGAGGCTCGTTGAGCTGTCCCCACCTGACCCTCCCTTTTGTCTGCGTGAATTGCCGGTGTGTAATTGCTCAGATTGTGATGGTAGCCTATAATCAGCAGCGCGCTCTATTGTAGAGCCCCGGCGTTCAGAGCCGGTCAGTGCGCTCAGGTGCACATGTGTGAAACGCCCGGTGTGGAGTGAATAGAGCGGCTGAGCGCTGATGGGCTGAGAGGCTCTCAGGCCCCTCTCCACCGCCGCTAAATTACAGGCTTCAGAGGCGCCCATTACTGAGCTCCGGCTCTTGAGTCCAGAGCACTACAGGCACACGGCACCGGGGGCCTCAGGGACCTCCGGGGCCGCTCTCACAGACATGTGGTCAAACGACATTCTACACAAATAGGGCCAGAAAGTTAGCCAGTCCGGCGCTGCCTATTGCCTCTGTTCAATTTAATTTCTCTTCAGCAACTAGGTCAGGAATCAGAATACACTACATGGCTTGCAAGAACCCTGGAGTGCGAAAAGCCAGACATTCTGTGTTGTCAATGATTCCCGAGATCGAGGATTTAAAGCCAGAACAAAGAGAATGTTTGGTGAATTTTATCAAGGGGAAAAATTGTCCTTCTTCCTACAGGATTTGGGGAAAGATTAATATACCAGTTTGCCCCGTTACCAGCGCATTACAAACATCACGACCAAATAGCAGCGATTGGTTAAATAAAAAAAGTACCTGCCTACCGTTGAGCGAACAAATCCTAATTCTGCCTGTTTCACTTTGTGGAAACCGGCTGATGAATCAGGCTACCAGAAAGTAATATCACCGTTTAGACTTTGACTTCTTCAGGGACATCAGCTCATTCTCTCAGGTGTTCAGTTTGAGTGAACCCGTGTCTCCTTCACCAATGCATTAATTTAGTCTTAGCAAAAACAAATACCCGAAATATCGTGATATTGTTTAGTCAAAAGTCTCACAATAATATCCTGGACTGTCACAACATGCACAAGTTCCTTTGCTTAAATACATGCTTTTACAGTAGTAACAGCTTATAACCATAGAGAACTACATATCCCATGATTCATTTCAGCGCAGATAACGTGAAGAGATATGTTTTTTACTTGAATTCTTGGGATTATGACAAATAATTCACACCAAAATCTCGTCAGGGTATTTTAAAAGCAAAAAAGTGTCCTATCTACAATTATATCAGCATGCTCCAAAATATCGCAATAAATATCGTACCGTGAGATTTGGATATCGTTACATCCCTACTTATTGATCATTCCTGAATGTAAACAATACAGACTTATAATCATTGCCATGTTTTTGCCCATTTCTTCCTCCAAAGTCTTCCGTCTGCAGACCTGGTTAAAAAGACCCAGGCTGATTGTTGACTATTAAAAATAATTAAATCTTGGTCTTGATTAAAATCCAATCAGCCTAATTGCTTCCGTTTGGTTTGGTCCTTTGTCGTTTTTTACATGTCCTTTTTTCTCCTCTGATTCTTTCCAGTTTGTGAAGTTTGCCAACATCGAGGAGGACACTCCGTCGTACCACAGGCGCTATGACTTCTTTGTGTCTCAGTTCAGTGCCATGTGCCACTCCACCCACGAGGACCCCGAAACCCGCACCAGGTAGGCGTCGCTCTGCCTGTTTAAGGCCGTGCTACTTTAACTCTTTCCCCCTTGGACGCCAACTAGGAACAACCCATGCATATATTACCGTAATGTCCGCACTACAGCACACACTTAAAAGCCTTTAATTTCATCAAAAAATGACTGTGCGCCTTATATATGAATTTATTTGTGTGTCTTAGTACGACTTTAGTAAAATACAAAGCCACACCACTTGCAGCATTATGGCTCCTGTAGTCAGGAGCATCAGGAGTAAAACAGACTGTGATTCCTATTAATATCAAAATGCACCTGTCAAGAGACACGCCCACAATGGCAACTTTAAACTCAAGGCTATTATAAAGTTAAAGTGCGAGCTGCGTGGGAGCAGTGGATGAGAGAAGGAGAACACACATTCACCGAGACAGAGAGACAGCGCCATGGATGTCTGGACTAAGGATCAGGATCAACTGTGGTCCGAGCTTTCACCAAGACCAGAATCATCACTGAACTGCCAGGGAACAGTAACCACACTGACTCGGATCATGACGAGAGGGATGTGGACGAGCTGGACGCCGTCATCGACCAACTGTTTGAACAATTATGAGTTATTGTGAATATTCTAGCAATTTAGGGTCTCAGACAGTATTTTTTTTTTATGCGTTAACAATTGAACAAAGTTGAGAGTTATTGTGAACGCGTTAAATAAAGTTTGACTGACTTATCTGTGGTGGGTGGCTTGCCCTCTCCGGGTGGGTGGGGAGTCTTTGCCTCAAGTGGAGGAGTTCAAGTATCTCGGGGTCTTGTTCTCGAGTGAGGGGAGGACGGAACGTGAGATTGACAGGCGGATCGGTGCAGCTTCGGCAGTGATGCGGTCGCTGTATCGGACCATTGTGGTGAAGAGGATTTACCGGTCAGTCTTCGTTCCTACTCTCACCTATGGTCATGAGCTCTGGGTAGTGACTGAAAGGACAAGATCGCGGATACAAGCGCTTGAAATGGGTTTCCTCCGCAGGGTGTCTGGGCGCTCCCTTAGAGATAGGGTGAGGAGCTCAGTCACATGGGAGGAGCTCGGAGTAGAGCCGCTGCTCCTCCACGTCGAGAGGAGCCAGTTGAGGTGGCTCGGGCATCTGTTCTGGATGCCTCCTGGACGCCTCCCTCGGGAGGTGTTCCGGGCATGTCCCGCCGGGAGGAGGCCCCGGGGAAGACCCAGGACACGCTGGAGGGACTATGTCTCTCGGCTGGCCTGGGAACGCCTCGGGGTCCCCCCGGAGGAGCTGGAGGACGTGTCTGGGGTGAAGGAAGTCTGGGAGTCCCTGCTTAGGATGCTGCCCCCGCGACCCGGCCCTGGATAAGCGGACGAAAATGGATGGATGGATGACTTATCTAATCCGTGTATCATTCGTTCATTCGTTTTTCAATATAAAACCAAAAATAAGAAAATGAAAAAACAACAGTTTTCTTCACTATTTGTCTCCAAAACCAAAATGAAAAAATGGATAATGATTCGTTTTTTTTTTTCAGTTTTTCGATTTTGTGTTTAAATGAAGAATGGAAAAAACGGATAACTGCCGTTTCCCCTTTATGTGATTTCCGTGACTGCGATGCCGGAATTTTGCACCGCATACGGACTGAACCAGGACTGATCCAGGTCCGAGACCAGAGCGGGACTGAGACCGGGACCAGAGCGGGACTGAGACCGGGACAGACCGGGACCAGACCGGGATATATCGGTATTTAGATATTTTTGCACAGCCCTAATTTTTGTCCATAATCGAGTATAGAGTCCCCAATAGTTTGTTTAGATATCACAGGACTCCACACAGACGTATCACCGGCATTCTCACCTTCGTACGTTTCACTCTCCGAAAGTCCTTCATCATCACTTTGAAATCTATAAAAGTCACTTTCTCGAAACTTATGCATAAAATACTCCCACTCCTCATTTTAAAAAAAAAACTGTGCACCACAGTCTTTCCGCTGCTCGTGTTTCGTGTTGTGTTTTTCCCGAAGCTACAATCGTCACTACTTCGATTAACTTCTGCAAAAATCGGGCGAAAACATATCCTTGAATACTATTGGTCAGCCTAGTTTACATGTGAAAAACAGGAACCGTCAAATCAGGTCTTTAGTGAAACAGCGGAGGAGTCAAAACACGTCATTAAGGAAACGAGGGCGGTCGTCAGGTGTCGTCTTCATGGGGGAAAAAGTTAAACCCGGTGCACCCCGCCTCTCTGACCTTGGTGCAGTGTGGGTGTGGGTCTTCGTGAGGACAACCTGCGGATAGAATCTAGACTCTGTTTTTCTCCAAATACTGCAGGAGTCAGTTTAATGCCAGACTATTGAACATCCCCGGAAAAGCACCAACCTCTCCGCGTTTCCTATTGCACCTTTAATTTCTGACGACCTTTAAACATTTTTTTGTTTTAGTTTTTTAGTTTCCTGTGACGCAGCTATTACAGAGATGCAGGCCTGAAACCAGAACAAAACTCATCTAAATGTCACTTTATCAGAAAACTCAGCTGAAACTAAATTAGAATCTGAAGGACGGCGTGATCATTAGGGACGTGGCCAATAACGGAAAATGCAAATGCTGATATTGAACTTTTAAAATGCTTAATGAGGCCCACAAAGCTAAAATGATGGTCCCAAATGAACTTTTCACTTTTGTAAAATTAATAACTAAATATATTTGGATTTTACTTATGTATTTTTATTGCATACTGCCATATAACGTCCTGCTCGGCCTTGAACTAAAATCAGTAAATCGGTTAATTGTACTATAACTTTAATGAGTTTGATAACGTTTCCAGCTGCGATAATTTCTATTTGCATGCTTATTTGTTTTCCTCGTCTCTCTACATAATGACGCTTGAACGAACGCGTCTGCAGAGATGTAGACGACCAGTGTTTCCCAAACTTTTTTTCTGGGGACCCGTATTTTAAAAGTCACAAACCTTCGTGACCCAAGTCAACAGACATTATTCGTAAATCACAAAATAAAAGTGGATTTGACCATTATTGAACATTAATGAGGATATTTTATTGTTGACTGAGTGATCGTGTCTCTGAACAATAAGTTTTACTCAAGTTTTAAAAAATGAAAAACACTGAATCAGCAATAAAAGGATCCATAAGTCAACTATTTGGACATTAAATGAAGCCCATTTCTTTTTCTTTTCAACGTTCAATTGGACCAGCAATATTGGAACAAAACTTGTCAATAAAATAATTTTAAAAAAAGATGAGAAATTTTACAAAACATGTCTTAACATTTCTACATGTCTCAGAACTGTATACTTACATAGTGATTACATGCAGATTGTGACAAGACAATCCAAAAACAATCTTCTGCGACCCAGTCTTTGGGAAACAATGATATAGACCAGGGGTCTCAAACTCAAATGACCTGGGGGCCACATTAGATAAAGTCTGAGTGAGGCTGGGCCGCATTGAGTATTCGATAAATAGCGGTTGCACGAAAAAAAAAAAAGCTCCATATGTGCACGCGTATGAACAGATCCACTTAGGCTCGTTGCTTCACAACTGCTGTAAGTTGAGTTTTGGGATGTAAGCTGCGTTAATAATCTGTTGTTGTGAATCTGCATGGGCACTGATTGCAGCTTCATCTGTCAGTGCAGCCCGTGGTGGGGGGGGATTGTGCTTACATCTACCGTTTGCTGCACTGACATTATTCTTTGGAATTAAGTGGAGGGCCGCAAAAAATCCTTCCGAGGGCCGCAGTTGGCCCCCGGGCCACGAGTCTGAGACCCCTGGTATAGACGGATTATTTGTTTTCCAACACAGCGGATGCGCGTGCAGCCGGAGTGCAGAAAGCGCCGCTGTCAGAGCACCAAAACAGTTCATCGCTGTGTGACAAAACAAGTCAGGATGCTATATTAACCAGAGTGAGAGGGATACATCTCAACGGCCACATGTACGGCCACACACGTGCGTCAAATGCAACGACGAGAAGAAATGACTTAATCCCCAGCAGCCTACATAAACGCATACCTGAGTGACACAACTAGCCCCACTCCCAGGAGAGCCTGAAATCTGCTGAAATCCCACAGGACACTGACACGATACCAGACAGGACAGCGTCTCTTTCTACAGGAGACATGTGCAGTAGAGCTCATAATGATCCCTGTATAAAAAAAAAAATTGGAGTGATGAGCCAGGGTCTGTGTCAGACATGTATAACTCAGACCAAATTTGGCCCACAATACGATTATATTTGGCCCGTGAGATCATATCAAAAATGTTTTAGAGCTGCCCATCGGCTACAAATAGACTATAGAGACATTATTTATTTAAAATGCTGTTTTTGTTTTATATTTTGCTTGTTCTGGATTCAGTGTTTAAGCAAAACTATTATTAAACATTTATTTTAATAAGAAAAGGTTTAACATTACATATCTCGAAAGAAAAGAAAACATGCAGATGTTGTTGAATTTTTTCAATAAATATTTAGTTTGGCCCACGACAAAATAGCAAACTAGGATCCTGTTTAACATGAACATGACACAAATGCCGAGGCAACAGCAGCCACAGAGAGAGGAAACACAATATTCTTATGTAAGTCAATGAACAAAATAACTTTTAAAGGCAATTTTGTTACAGAGACACAATAATCCATTTTTTTAAAAGTCTATTTTAGTCTTGCAGTTCCTTTGTTAAATGTTCTTCAGAAAGTCAAGTTTATTGATCTTGGAAAGGATGTATTTGCATTTTTATTCCATCGTCACTGTATTAGCTGAAAATGGTCTCAAAATATCAATATTATCGTTTATCACAATAAATTCTTGGTCAATTAATCGTCCAGCAAAATCCATTATTATCATTACAGGCTCTACACTCTTCTATTTCCATTTTGACTCTGACTCTGTCCAGAAAGGGCAGACAGAGAATGAGGCAGTGTAAAAATATCAGCACAGAGTATCGATATCGGCCTGTACGATGCTAGAACCGATACATCTCCGGTCCCTGTTCCTCCGTCCTCTCCTCCTCCTCCTTCCCTCCGGTATCGCCCTCTCCACCTGTGCGTGCGGGGCTCTGATGATAGCGTGTTCCGCGGGCGCGTCGGGGGGTCCGCGCGTCTCCCTCCGGCTGCCGTCTCTTTAAACACGTCTGTCCCGATCCATATTTAATGCGCTGCGTCCCCGCGGAGCCCGACGGGAGGCCTCGCTCTGCCGCCGCGAATGTGAAGCGCCGATCAAATGGAGCGGGAGCAGATTTTCTCCTCCTCCTCCTCCTCCTCACCTGAGCAGCCCCCCTCCCCTCACCTGAGCACCGCTGCCGCCGCCGTCGCCTTTGATGCGCTCTCGGCGGGGGCTCGCACGTAACTCCGTATGATCAGTAACGCGGATGACTCGGCGTGCGGCGAGGCGAGCAGCAGAAACAGCAACAGTCATATCCCTCATTACACACGTCGGTTACACGATGGAGCTCATCTACGCTCTGACTCACGACGGATTAAAGAGGCGATTACACTTCTGTGGGGGATTCACTGTAACACACCACCTTTTTACATCACAGTATTACTTTTATTTTTTAGTAGGGATGGGACAAGGTCACGTGACAAAGATCATGCACACATGAGAAACGTGATCTCACAAGATTTTTTTCCAAGTCTTTACATCTAGACTGGACAAAAAAGATTTACATGTTTGTGACTTAAATCATTACAGTTCCAAAAATAAACTAAAATAAACAAAAATTTTACATCAAATACTGTATTTTTCAGACTATGAGTCGCACTTTTTTTCATGGTTTGAGTAGTCCTACAACTCCGGTGCGACTTCTGTATTAACATTTTCACTACTGCTGCTCCTGTTCCTCCTGCACCACTGTCACTTGGCTCTACTGCGCATGTCTCCTGCAGAAAGAGCCTCTGTTCTGTCTGTATCATGTCAGTTGATCGCACCATTACTTCTGCACCACTGAACAATTTAAAATGTAAACAAACTTATATAGACAAAGCCTGAGAAGACTGAACACAAATGCCCCCAAAAAGAAAAATCTAATTTTGCAGATCACAAACTGCAAGTCGTGAAATCTGCAGCTGAAAACGATAATCGAGCAGCAGAAAGAAAGTTTGGAGTGAGAGAGAAACTTGTGACACCGGGAGGATGCACCATGAAACTTTCCTGAAGTCACTGGATGGATGGACAAAGTCTGGACTTCAGTGACACCGAAACCATCCTGTCGGGATTCAGAAAGACCCGAATAATTCTAACTGGAACTGATGCTGAGTCTGACGACAGCGACACAGAAGAGGAAGCGGCGCTTTGTTCACCTCCGGAGGAGGTTGGAGTTGTTCAGAAGTGACACCGAGGATGAAGAATTGAATGGATTTAGTGATTTGGAGTGAGATGGAGAGTTTGTTAAACTTGTTCTGTTCTGTTGTTTATGTTATAGTTTATCTGAAGAACTGTTCATATGTGACTTTAACAGTCTGTTGTTCTCTCTTCTATTGTTATTACTAGAACAATAGAACATTTTATGAAATAGATTTCCCCAAAAAAGTTCAACTTATAGTCTGATGCGACTTGCATATGTTTTTTCTTCTTCATTATGCATTTTTTGGCTGGTGCGACATATAGTCCGAAAAATACTGTGCATAAATCAGGTTCTACATATTGACCCAAAAATATCGGCAGAGCTTATCAACTCTTGGTTCTTCTGGCTTCTAAACAATCGGCATTTAAATCCAGTGTGTATTTCTTCTTCAGTTTTCAGACTATTTAAAACTTTTTGTGGCCATACCGGCTTGTTAAAGCCTGATCCCGTCAGAAGCTCAGCAGGCTGGGCCTGGTTAGTACTTGGATGAGAGACACTGTGAATTCCAGGAGCCACAGGGGGGCGCCAGTTGTAAAAACTGTTGTTGTGTCCTTAGGCAAGTCACTTCACCCTCATTGCCTAGTATGAAAGTGGTGTGTGTGTGAGTGATGGTGGTGGTCGAAGGGGCCAATGACGTAGATTGGCAGCCTCGCTTCCATCAGTCTGCCTCAGGGCAGCTGTGGCTACAGTAGTAGTTTACCACCACTGAGTGTTGAGTGACTGAATAATGAACTGTAAAGTGTCTTTGAGTGTCCAAAAAAGTGCCATATAAAACTGATGCATTATTATTTTTGGGCAGTTTTTACTAATGTGTGCATTGTGTAACCTTGGTAATTGCTGAACATCTCATCATACGTTCACACGTAGAACACCCCCATAGTGATGTCTCTGCAAAGTATCAATTAACATTAGGCCTGTCACAACAATTTCCATATGGACTTAACATGTGTGTGTTTGTTTTTGTGTTTGTGTGTGCAGGATCCGAGTGGCCGGGATCAAGGGTCTCCAGGGAGTCGTGCGAAAGACGGTGAACGACGAGCTGCAGGCCATCATCTGGGAACCTCAACACATGGACAAACTCATCCCGTCCATGCTCTTCAACATGCAGGACAGTGAGGACATGGACAGGTGAGGGGTCGGGGGGGACACATCTCCTGGTCTGGAGCTGGTCTTGGTCTGGAGGACTGTGGGGGATTTTCCCTGTTGTGCATGTTTTGGGTTGATGGGGGGAAATCAAAACGAAATTCGCCCAGGATCGTTAAAATGATCATGAAACATTTGCAGTTCATTCCCACATAATGATCACGTCTGTGTTTTCATTTTAAGGCCTTATACTTTGCAATATTGAATTTGACACTGACATTGAAGCAGGTTAAAAACAAAAGCTGATTACTTTAGAGTTAATTGCGTGTAAAGACAGACTTTTAAGACATGGTGAACGTTGGAGCTGCCTCACATCCTGCGCACAAACCCACAGAGCCCTGGTTTAATGTCATGTAAATACCTGAGCCACTGAGCCGTCCACAAACACATCACTCAGGGATTCAGAACCTCGTGTTCCATGTTCACGGGACTCATGCTGGGAGAAAATCCAGCTGTATTTTATTTTCCTCATAAATATCTTTCCACAGTATAACCATGAATCTGTTTTTAAAATGCACTTTTGAAACCCATCCAGGAACATTTAAGACTCAAATGTGAATTAGTGCAAGAATCAAATCCTGAAGGAACACTTTTACATTTTCTGGTGCAGCCCAGGGATTTCTACATGGATATGCCATTGCACTGCCTGCAATGTCCCACAGTATGGCATTAATGCATCTATCTTTCATTAATGTGTTTTAGTTTTGTATGTATCACATTTTTACATACACAAATTATTAGTATTGTAGAACAGAATAAATTGTCAGACCAACCAAAATAAAAGGGGGGGTAATTAATTATTTAAGATGATAATAATAAAATACAAATAAATAAATAAATAAATAAGTAAATAAATAATAAAATAGAAAATAAAAAATATAAAATATAAAATTTAACTAAATTAAACTAAAATAAAATGAAAAATTAAATAAAATTAAAAATTTAAATTTAATAAAAAATTTAATTAAAAAATATAATAAATAAAGTAAAAAAAATAAATAAATAAAATAAAATAAAATGAGGCCATCAAGCAAGTGACATCTGCAAACGTGTATAAAAAAATTTACATTTTACATTAGGCTTTGTTTGGATGATAAGATTTCTACATTTTCCAATACAGTTCTCCAATCTTTCATTTATTTAATAATTTAAAAAAAAGCGTCTGTAAGAGTACTCAAAAATATCTCCCCCCACAAATCTGACCTCTGCCTTGGCATCTCCACTCGCACTGGTGGGTCTGCTGGTCTTGAATATATTTACGTTTAATGCCGTACTGTGGAAAATTACAGGGAAAAAATGTTCATGGAGGCGAGCAGGTGGTGTCTGTTTACATTTGTGCGTTAAACCTGTGCGAAGGAAACAAAACACAGCTCCAGGTACAGTCTGTTTGTGATGAGGAAACAATATTATAAAGACATAAATCAGAAATCTCCATCAAATAGTCCCTTTAAACTCCTGTGTGTGTGTGTGTGTGTGTGTGTGTGTATTTGCAGGCCGGGCCACCCCTCGTCCCCCTCGGCCCCTGCAGGAGGCCCTGAGCTGGAGGAGAACCCCGGGGCGCTGGCTGAGAGCTGCTTCAGAGAACTGCTGGGGAGAGCTGCTTACGGGAACATGAACAACGCCGTGCGGCCCGTCCTCGTGTGAGTGACAGGACACAGTATCTGCACGTAAACTGGGCCTGGGGCTTGGGGTATTGAGCCCCGATTTGGTCCTGTTTTAGTCCTGGTTTAGTCCTCTATTCGGGCTTACGTCACAAAGAAGACGTTTGGAAAGATGCGATGGCAAATTCCAGCAGTAGTAAGTCTGACAAAATATAGGAGAAACTAGAAAATGTCCGAGTTTTCTTCATCTCCATGTCATTGTAGTGTTCCGTTATGTTTGTCTAATCAACAATTCCAACCATACTTCAGTTTTCATCATTTCCCAACTTACGCACAACTCCGAGCGCACTGGGTACAAGCGATTAGAAGAGAAGAGGCGCCAAATTCAAGATGATTACAAACAGCAGTCTTCATTTTACCGCTGATCAGGTTTACTTCAATGGGTTTGATCACAGTCGGTCGGCGAGTCCAGTGTCTTCCTAGTTTGTGACACAAGTGTGAATAGAGCCTATTTTAGTCCTGGTTTAGTCCTGCTGTGGTCGTTTAAGCCAAATTTTTTTTAATCCTCATTAAGACCTGGTTCAGTCCTCCTTTAGTCCTTGTTCAGTTCCAATTTAGTCCGGTTTTATTTCCCATTTACTCCTGGTTTCGTTAAGTTTAGCCCTCACCTCGGTCTCCGGTCTGTTTACACGAGAACGCTTCCGGGTAAAAACGACAAAATATTTTATAGGAGTGCCTTTTGTTTAGACGGTGACGGCGTTTTTGGGGCTTAAAAACACAAAAATCTCAAACCACCCTCTAGAGTGGAAAAGTTGAATACTCTCCATCGTAGTGTTTCCGTCTACACTGCCCAAGACGCAAAACTCTGGTCAGATCTGCTCACGTCGCGTACGAGTTTACGTCACAAACATACAGGACACAGAAACAAACATGTGTGGGACCTTCAAGCTGCTCTGGCAACAAATGTACAGAATCTGCAGAGATACTATTAGTGAACAGAAAAGGATCTGCAATCACCTCTGTCAAATTCTGGATGCACCAGTTCGTCGCAGGCGAGTCAGACGGATCTGGACGAGACCTGGAGAACCAGTCGATGGAGGAGGTGATGAAAATGTGTGGCGTGAAAACTTCTGTATGTCCAAAGATGCCCTTGTTCCTTTAAAGGGCCCATCTCGTGCAAAATCAACTTTTCAGAGCTTTCTACCTTCTAAGAGTGATGTGTGGGCCTTGTAAATGTCACCGAAGTGGTTTTTAGATTGATTCTGTGTTTTTTTAACAAATTGCAGCGTATTTCTGCCACCCTCCCACGTGACAACGAACTAAAGCTGCTACAACGATGACATGGCAGATACACCTATGACGAGTTTGACGTAGCAGAAGCGCTTCACACCCGACCCCGTCACCGCTCCACCGCCTCCACCCCACCTCCACTGCGCATCGTCTGACAGTTCCCACATGAACACCTAAACAAAAGCGACATTGTTCTACACTGCAGTTTACACGATATAATAAGTTTATCTGCTAGTGTTTATTAATACTTTACCAATCAGTAATGTTCCGCTGATGTGGACGCGGTGCTTGAGCTTCGTGCTCCTTAAAGTCCTCGTCCGATTCCGGGTCCAACACATGCGGCTGAACGCGCTGTATCTCCATGATGAATAAAAGTTTATTCCTGCCACTATCAGGGTGCACGTCTGTCTCCCCCTCCCTCCCTGAGATGGCGGAGGAAGGGCGGCTCACTCAGAACCTACGTCACGTTTGGAGGGCGGAGCCTGTGCTTTCTCAGGACGAGCGGGGGGATGAGCAATAGTTGGACTTTCATAGTTCCTCGTCTGTGACTGTCTCCAAAAAATCAGTAAGATTTCATAACTACTGTGTAATGGATTTCCAAAACCCAAATTGTGCTTGTTTATGTGCAGAAGATACAATGTGAAAAGAGTTATTACCTCCGCCAAGGAGGTTATGTTTTTGCCGGCGTTTGTCTGTTTGTTTGTTTGTTTGTTTGTCTGTTTGTTTGTTTGTTTGTTTGTTTGTTTGTTTGTTGTTTGTTTGTTTGTTTGTTTGTCTGTTAGCAACATAACTCAAAAAGTTATGGACCGATTTTGATGAAATTTTCAGGATTTGTTGGAAATGTGAAAAGGAAGAAATGATTTCATTTTGGGGGTGATCCGGAAGAAATCCTGGATTCTGGATCACTTTGAAATTTTAGTTAACATTGTGGTAAATGGGGCCAAAAATTTTGTTTCTCAATATCTCGGTTAATTATTGACCAAACCCCATGAAATTTGACTCAGGGATGGACAATGGGATCCTCTTTCATATTCCAAATTGAAAGATACGAGACAAATATTTATGGAAAACACAATTAATATGAGGGGGACTGTAGTCCTTGGCGGAGGTCTGCGCTCTCTGAGTGCTTTTCTAGTTTTGCATGAGACGGGCCCTTTAACTACTAACATAACCAATCGATTTCCACACATTTTTGCGTCACCGTATGCTCGCAGATTTCCTCCCGCGGAATAAAAAGTGAAGACGCGCCGCCACTTTTGCGTCTTCTGTTCAGACCGTCATCATATAAACGTAGCCTCAGACTGCACATGGAGCTGTAAATCTTCTTTATGATTCCGTGGTGCCGTCCTTTTCAACACTTTGCGCAGTTTGTGATAAAATGTCCCGTGAAAAATCTGAAGGAGCTCTTGGGAAGCATTAATCTTTCCCTCGGGCTCCACCCTTCATGCAGCTTCAAACACGGTGACCACAATGCCACAACGCACCGCCACACTCGACAAAACCGCTCTGACACAGGGCTCGCAGCTGGACCAGGTGCAGTCCCAACTTAGTCCAGACTTAGTCCTGGCTTAGTCCTGGGGGTATCATGAAGCAAAGTCAATAATTATCAAGTGTACACAGCTTCTGCCTCTCCACACAGACAAAACTCAGTCTAAACAGGTCTAGACTAGGACTAAACCAGGTCTAGGACCACACCAGCCCTAAAGTCCTCGTCCCGTCCTCTTGTTTAGTCGTCTCTCTTTGACTTTGCCGTGTCCTCTGCAGTGCTGTAGCTTGAGCAGGGACGGGCTCCATGCTAATCCTGTTAATTGTGCTCGGCTGTGTTTAAAATGGACTTGTGGATCCTCGGGGGAGTGCGCCCGCCCAAACACACTGGCATTTAAAGCCCATTAACACGGCATGAAGTCAGACTCCAGTTTGTTAGTTTTAACTTTAACTTGAAAATGAAGAACCTGCTTTTAGGCGAACGAAGACATTGTCACTCAAACTTTTGACGTAGAAACCTGAAGTAGGTTGAGTGTCGCTTTGGCTGGGATTGAACAAGAACTAAACAAGATCTAAACTGGGGCTAAACTGGGGCTAAACAAGGTCTAAACCACTCCAGGTCTCCACCACTTGAGGCAAGGCAAATTTATGTATTTTTATTTATTTTAAAACTGTATTTTTATTAGAACGTTTTAGTTTTGTAGATCACATTTACATACACAAATGATTAGAATTCTAGAACAGAATAAATCATCAGACCAACCAAAAAAAGGGGGGGAAATAATTTAAGATGATAATAATAAAATAATAAAATAAAATAAAAAATAAATTAAATTAAATTAAAATTAATTAAAATAAAATATAATTAATAGAATTAATAATAATAATAAAATTAAACTAAATAAAATTAAACTAAACTAAAATTAAATAAAATAAAAAATACAATAAAAAATTAATAGAATTAAATAATAATAATAATAATAATAATAATAATAGATTAATAATAACAATAATAATAATAATGAAATTTAACTAAACTAAATAAAACTAAAATAAAATAAATAAACAAATTAATTAATTAATTAAATTTAATTTAAATGCAATAAATTTGTATTGCATTAAAATGCAATAAAATGTTTTTAAATTAAAATGCAATAAAAATTGTATTAAATTAAAATGCAATAAAATACAATAAAGGCCATCAAGCAAAGTGACAATAAAGACACATTTTCACAGAGAAACTGGAAGTAGGTTGAGTGTTGCCTTGAGTGGGTCTGAACAAGGACTAAACAAGGTCTAAACTGGGTCTCAACATAGTCTAAACCACTTTTAAACCAAGTCTGAACCAGATCTAACACAAGAAAAGTCCTTGTTTCTCATCATGTATCCGTGGTCCATGTATGACTTTCCTAATAATGAAAAATGAAAACAGTTGCTATAGTAATTAACAATTTAGCACAAAATCCCCTGTCAACTGAAATGTGAAAAGTCCTCGAAATGTGTCCTGTAGTTGACGCTGGCATGAGGAGGCCGGTGCAGGTGGAGTGGTGCTGTATAAAAGTGAGCGTTTAAAGCTTTGAGGAGATGACGGCTCTACACTTCTGAGGGCCTGACTCAGAGCTCATAATGGCCTCAGTGTGAAATGTTACAGTCATCCTTATTTAAAACTACAGTTCTGAGCCGGGAGCACTCTTCGCCCGATCACACAGACTCTCCGGTGTGTGTGTGTGTGTGTGTGTAGAGCTGCAGCGCCTCCTACTGGACACCTGCTGACACAACCGCCGCGTCACACTGGCTCAAAGAGTGGCCCCACGTGTCAGATCAACAGTGCAAAGTTTATTTTTACATTTCATATTAACTACAGGCGCATAATATGATAAAAGGATGCAATACTTTAAAACTAAGTTATGTTTCGTGATAATGATTCTGTGAAATCTTTAAAAATGTGCAAGTGGGTCAGGGGTTTGGGCAGTGGTCCTGGAACTTGTTTTTTGTTCTGTTTTTGGGACTTTGCTTAGTAGTGTTTCTTGGAGGGGCTGATGGAGACGGAGTGGAGATTGACAGCCTCACTCACACTCACCAATCTGCCCCAGGACAGCTATGACTACAATAGTAATTTACCTTCTCTGAGTGTGGAGTGATTGAAATGACTACAGCGCAGTGCTTTGAGAGGCTTTGACAAGTCTGTAAAGTGTGTGTCTGTGTGTTATTTTTATTTTGAAACATGTGCTGCAATAAATAAAAGCAGAATGGGTCCTCTCTTTGGATGTGGAGTCCCTGATTTGGTTCCTCTCTCATGGTGTAGAATCTTTGGTTTGGTTTGGTTCCTCTCTCCTGGTGTAGACTGCTTAGTTTGGTTCCTTGGTTTGGTTCCTCTCTCCTGGTGTAAACTCCCTGCTTTGGTTCCTCTGTCTTCATGTAGACTCTTTGGTTTGGTTTTGTTCCTGTCTACTGGTGTAGACTTCTTGGTTTGGTTCCTCTCTGGATGTAGACTCCTTGGATTGCTTCCTCTGTCTTGGCATAGACTCCTTGGTTTGGTTCCTGTCTCCTGGTGTAGACTCCTCAGTTTGGTTCTTATTTCCAGGGTTTAGACTCCTTGGTTTAGTTCCTCTCTCCCGGTTTAGATGCCTTAGTTTGGTTCCTCTCTGGATGTAGACTTCTTGGTTTGGTTCATCTCTCCTGGTGTAGACTCCTTGGCTTGGTTTGGTTCCTCTCTCTTGGTGTAGATTCCTTGGTTTTGGTTCCTTTCTCTTGTCTGTGGAGATCGTGGACTTGTCTCTGGGTGTGGTTTGGTTCCTGTCTCGTGGAGGTGGGTGCTGGTTTGGTTCTTGTCTCGTGGAGGTGGGTGCTGGTTTGGTTCCTGTCTCGTTTGGGTCTGTGGAGGTGGTGCTGGTTTGGTTCCTGTCTCGTGGAGGATGGGTGTGGTTTGGGTTCTTGGTTCCTGTCTCGTGGAGGTGGGTGCTGGTTTGGTTCCTGTCTCGTGGAGGTGGGTGCTGGTTTGGTTCCTGTCTCGTGGAGGTGGGTGCTGGTTTGGGTTCCTGTCTCGTGGAGGTGGGTGCTGGTTTGGTTCCTGTCTCGTGGAGGATGGTTTGGTCCTGTCTCTGTGGTTTGGTTCCTGTCTCGTGGAGGTGGGTGCTGGTTTGGTTCCTGTCTCGTGGAGGTGGGTGCTGGTTTGGTTCCTGTCTCGTGGAGGTGGGTGCTGGTTTGGTTCCTGTCTCGTGGAGGTGGGTGCTGGTGCGGGCAAAGGCAGTGGCAGGTCTAAAAATAGTCTGTGGGGTTAACGGGAGATCAGGCTGTGACGCGAGCAGCAGCACATAATGAGAGAGGGGAGGACGAATGTGTGAATGTGTGAGGGGGATGGTTCTCGTGGGGCTCGACACCGGGGGATGGTGAAGCGGGGAAGAAGATGGAGAGGCTGAGGAGGCTGAGGGAGAAGAGGGGAGAGGAGTGGATCTTGAAACTGTTCCAGTGTGAGGAAGAGTGTTCATGTGAATGTCCTGAGTGGTGAGGGGTAAAAGTAACAGGCTGTGATTGGTGGAACAGTGACTACAGTGGAAACGGCGTAGTCCAGTTTTAGACCTGCTTTAGCCTGAGATTAGACCTGGAGTAGTTCTGGTGGTTCTTGGAAAGGCTAATTCTTTCTTTGGTTGTACTTGGTGTAAACAAAGTGTTGAGTGGCACATTAAAGACTAAACAGTGCCACATGTTTGAACATATGTGTAATACAGCCCAGTGTTTCGCAGAGATTTCAGTTGGAAAACAATTACAAAAATAAATAATGATTACAACATTTAAAAACAAAAATTGTATTTTCTCTTTGTTTTGTGTCCTCAGACACTTGGACAATCATCACCTGTGGGACCCCAATGAGTTTGCAGTGTCCTGCTTCAGGATCATCATGTACTCTATACAGGTACTACATCATCCACTACATACAAGTACTACCTCATGTACTCTATACAGGTACTACATCATCCACTACATACAAGTACTACCTCATGTACTCTATACAGGTACTACATCATCCACTACATCATCCACTACATACAAGTACTACCTCATGTACTCTATACAGGTACTACTACATCATCCACTACATACAAGTACTACCTCATGTACTACACGCAACTACTACCTCATGTACTACATACAGGTACTACATCATCCACTACATACAAGTACTACCTCATGTACTACACGCAACTACTACCTCATGTACTCTATACAGGTACTACATCATCCACTACATACAAGTACTACCTCATGTACTCTATACAGGTACTACATCATCCACTACATACAAGTACTACCTCATGTACTACACGCAACTACTACCTCATGTACTCTATACAGGTACTACATCATCCACTACATCATACATCATCCACTACATACAAGTACTACCTCATGTACTCTATACAGGTACTACATCATCCACTACATACAAGTACTACCTCATGTACTACATACAGGTACTACATCATCTACTACATACAAGTACTACCTCATGTACTACACGCAACTACTACCTCATGTACTACATACATGTATTACATAATGTACTACATAAAAGTACTACCTCATGTACTACATACAGGTACTACATCATCCACTACATACAAGTACTACCTCATGTACTACACGCAACTACTACCTCATGTACTACATACAGGTACTACATCATCCACTACATACAAGTACTACCTCATGTACTACACGCAACTACTACCTCATGTACTACATACAGGTATTACATAATGTACTACATAAAAGTACTACCTCATGTACTACATACAGGTACTACATCATCCACTACATACAAGTACTACCTCATGTACTACACGCAACTAATACCTCATGTACTACATACAGGTATTACATAATGTACTACATACAAGTACTACCTCATGTACTACACGCAACTAATACCTCATGTACTACATACAGGTATTACATCATGTACTACATACAAGTACTAAATCATGTAGTACCTGTATCCAAAACATGTACACAGGTCTCCAGGAAGAACAGCTAATAGCTGATCACTAAGGTCAATTAAATACAATCAATTATCCTGCCCTGGGACGACAGGTGGAAATGAGCCACTGGTGCTACAACCTGATGTACAAACATCTCTCCTGTTAACGTTCATGTAGATGGTGCACTGTCCCTGTCTCATTAAATAAGTAACCAACAGGTACTACATCATGTACTACCAACAGGTACTACATCATGTACTACCAACAGGTACTACATTATGTACTACATAAAACTACTACATCATGTACTACATACAGGTATTACATCATGTGCCACCGAGGATGGGAAGAATATGCATTATGAAGAATATGAAGAAAATGATGTATTTATTTACAGAATACTGAATACCTGAATTATACTTTATTATTTAACATATTCTGGTACATGGTCCAAACAGAGTACTGTGTTCTGAATACTTTTAAATTGAGTTGAATTTAAATTCTAGTGTAAACATGCAACGTAGAATTAAAAACAGCTTCATGTTTGTTTCACTGTTTGTTCTGCATTTATTTATCACTGATCACAGAAGCAAAAATCACACACTCCTCACCACAAGAGCAGAGTTTTCTGTTTTTCTCACTGATTCTGAGCAGTTTGAAGCTGAAACCGTGTGATCAAGTTCAGCCGTATATTTCTTTGATGAAAAAGTCACTGTACCGAAATACAGTTACTCAGAATACATGTTCTCTGTACTTCCCAACACTGAGTACCACAGTCTCGCACAGTGATTCCAGCTCAGACTAGTGCATAGTACTGTTGTGTCCTTGGGCAAAACACCTTGTCTCCGTGGCGTGTTTTATGATAATTACTATATCGATTTATAATATGTAATGGTGATTCTTGAGAGTCGGGACAAAACAGGTTTTTAAAATGATCATTTTCAAAACAGTTCTACATTTATGAGAGCTGTAAATATATCTAGTCTGAGGTCTGAGCCGTACAGAAATGCAAAGGAACAGGTTCTGAATAAAAACATTTCTTTAATATATTCAATGACACATCTCTGTGAAGGCCTCACTCCAGGCTCAGACTCCCTCCAGCACTGTTTAAATAAGTGGATTAGAATGAACTGATGAAATTGACACTTTCCAGGCAGAAATTTCATCAGTGTCTGTATTAAATATGAAACAGTGTTGTTTCTTTACAAGTCTGCACATTTCACAAGTTTTGACTTAAATTTGCACAATTTAACTAAACGTCCAGTCTCTTTCTCCCTCTGACTTTGTGTATGTGTCTGTGTGTGTGTGTGTGTGTGTGTGTCTGGTCTGTCTGGTGTGTGTACAGGCCCAGCACTCGCACCATGTGATCCAGCAGGTCCTGAGTCACCTGGACACCCACCAGAAGGACACGGCCCGGGTCAGAGCGGGCATCGTGCAGGTGCTGCTGGAGACTGTGGCCATCGCTGCCAAGGGCTCAGTGGGTCAGTCTCAACTCTCACTGCACACTGCTCCACTGTGTACTACTGTGTACTGCTGTGTACGAGTGTGTACTACTGTGTATTACTGTGTTACCAGCCTGGCAAGCCAACACTATTCAGTACTGTTCTATAATCTCATTATAGGCAAGATTCATCATACAAAATGTGTATCATGTCTAAACAAACCACATTAACACTTAGGCTGCGTTCAGACTGCAGCCTGAAGTGACCCAAATAAGATTTTTTGGCCTCTATGTGACCTGTATCTGATCTTTTAATGTCAGTCTGAACCACACAGATCCGATTTTTTCAAATGTGACCCAGGACACTTGGATATGTGCTCCTGAAACTGATACATATCTGATCTTTTGACATGCGACTTCAGTCTGAACGGTCAAAGCGCATTCATCCACCTACACGTTATCAACAAGACACAAACGTCACTATTCTGCGCTGAAGTAGGTGAAAATTGTTAATGAACTCTGTGTCACTGAAGCGAAGCACATCACCACTCACCACTCTTGGCTACGTCTCCACATCCACACGTTCCTTTCAACGGACGTCGCTGCCCCACAAAACACCACGGCCAAAAACCTCGTCCTTCTCCTTCTCAATCTCCTCCTTAAAACAAGTAAGTTGTTCATGTTCTGGCTCCGGTACGAGAGGAACTTTAAAATCTCCAGGTGCTCGATGCTCGCGTCCATGTTTGGACAACTTCCGTAAACACAGAGACGCTCGCTGCGGTTGACGTCGTCGTGTCTCCAGTGCACATGCGGGACACTTTTGGGCCGTTTAATGTTCACACTGGAGTCACATACAAGTCGCATTTAATTGGAAATGTGAACGACCTCGCAAAAACATCGGATTTCACAAAAAAATCTGAATTGAGCGTTAAGCCCTGCAGTCTGAACGTAGCCTTAGTCTTGGTTTGCCCCCAGTTTAATCATAATAAAGACCTGATTTAGCTCACATGACAATTCATCATTAACAAACAAAAACAGGACACAAAACTGTGCACAGCAACTAGACGGTCCTGATGTGATGTGCGGTAGTTTCATTAGCAGGATGCACGCTGAGTGTTTCCTCTGAACGGGGAGTGACTTGGCACGGGGAGCAAAAGGAAGGGAGATTCAGAGCGTCAATAACAAAAATGAAACTTTTAGCAAATAAGGGAAATCATGAATAAAATCTGTCTTTTTTTGTCCATTTTACTTTGCAAAATCAGGGACAGACTCACACTTGCCTGTCTTACTTGCAAATTGTGAATTTTATTAGGACATCAGATTTCCAAAGTCAGTACTGTATTTTTCGGGCTGTAAGGTGCACATAAAATCCTTTAACTTTCTCAAAAATGTGCAGTGTGCTTTATAATCCGGTGCGTCTCATGTATTACTGTGTTTTTCGGACTATAAGTTGCACCAGCCAAAAAATGAGCAATGAAGAGGAAAAAAACACATATAAGTCGCACTTTTTTGGGGAAATTTATTTTATAAAATCAGAGACCAGGAACCAACATTTCATCTTGAAAGGCAAGTTCTAGTAATAACAATAGAACATAAAACAACAGGCTGAATAGGCGTCTGGTATGTTAATGTAACAAGTTATTAAAAGAAGTTATTAAGTTGTTCAGATAACTATAGCATAAACAGTTTACCAAACTCTCCATCTCACTCCAAATCCATTGAATCCACTGAATTCTTCTTCCTCGGTGTCACTGAAGTCCAGGCTTTTTTGATCCACCTTCCTGTTTATCGTGAAGCTGTGTTCACCATTCCCGCTTTCCGCCAATCCCTCACAAGTTTCTCGCTCACTTTCTTTTTGCTGCTCGATTACCGTTTTCAGCTGAATATTTCCTTACTAGCAGCAGGACAGAGGCTTTTTCTGCAGGAGACATGCGCAGAAAACTGATACACGAGCCTAGATCCTCTCTCGGCTGTCAGTCTGAAAATTTGAATATATAAGTCACACTGGAATTAAGTCGCAGGAAACACCCAAACCATGAAAAAAAGTGTGACCTACAGTCTGAAAAATACTGTTGTTTTGGTTGTGCTTACTGATCTTAAACTGTTTTTACATGGTACACGGCGCTCAAAAATCTGTTCGAATTAGTACGACTTTGGATTGTCGGAGCATTAGGGCGACTGTAGTGCGCAGCCTCGCTTAGAGTTTATGCAAATGCGCCACGTGGTTTTAAGTTTAATTGCTGTAAAACGTAAACAAATGTGCGCAAAGCTGGATTAAACACATTATTACTCGATGTATATTTGAGTCCTCGGAGGAATTAAAAAAACAAACTTAAATGATCCACCCGCATTCACATTCATGTCGTCGATTTGTTTTGCTTAAAGGTTGTATAGAAGATTTTTCCAAGGAAAGAGAAATGCAGCGACTGTTTGTCCATTTTCAATTGTCGCTCTTCGCTCCTCTTCCCCTTCTCTTCTTCTTTCAGCGATGTCAAAAACAGACTTTCTTTTGTGGTGAACTGGTAGTGAATTTTTGTCTGCCGTCACAACAAACTTGGTGCAAAACTTTGTGTGAGAGGAAGCTACAGTTCGAAAAAGATGCTAAGAACCGCTGTGTTGGTTGAGTAAACAGCATCAGTGCATGAGGTAAACGTAAACCACATAATCCTAGTGCGCCGGCAACTCAGTGACGCTAGAAACGTAGGGAGTTTGATTGACAACCCAACAGCCAATAGAAAAAGAGGTAGCGTTGTTTTCTATTGGCTGATGTTTATCTGCCCCCATCACATCCACAGTTGATGGATTTTCATTCTTTTTTTTTTTTTTGGTCATCATAATTACAAGGCTGCTGCATCTCTATAATTATATTTTGAACTTTCATCGACAATTTGAAAAAAAAAAAAAAAAAAAATCCTCCATACAACCTTTAATGTGACTTAATAATTGGATTACTTGATATTGTCCTGATTTTAGTCCTGGTTTAGTCCTGTTTTTTTGTCTTGGTTTAGTCCTGGTTTAGTTCTGGTTTAGTCCTGGTTTAAGTCCTGGTTTAGTCCTGGTTTAGTTCTGGTTTAGTTCTGGTTTAGTCCTGGTTTTAGTCCTGGTTTAGTCCTGGTTTTAGACCTGGTTTTAGTCTTGATTTAGTCCTATTTTAATCCTGGTTTAGTCCTGTTTTTTTTGTCTTGGTTTAGTCCTGGTTTAGTTCTGGTTTAGTCCTGGGTTTAGTCCTGGTTTAGTTGGTTTAGTTCTGGTTTAGTTCTGGTTTAGTTCTGGTTTAATCCAAAACATGCGCTATATTTCTACAAAACGGAGACCTTTGTGTTGCCATATATTTATTTTCTTGAGATATGGATTCTTGTGTGAGGCAAAGTTACAAAATCTATATTCTTTTCTCTTCAGGTACTACGTCTTATCTATTGTGCAGGCGTCCTCCTCTCAACAGTATTTTCTTGTGTCAGGTCTGAACGTGCTCTTGAACACTTGAAGTTTCCTGTTTTGTCACTCTATCTGTTCATAATTGCCTGTTTTATAATCAGGTTTTCCCCGGGTTCCCGGAGCCGTGCTAATGCCGCTCGCTCCTCCAATGTTTGTGTCTCGGAGGAGTGCTAATGAAGTGAACAGCCTCAACACCTTTTAATGACAAGTTAAAAATAAGAATTAATTTGCAGATAAGCAGGCACTCCGGTTCAGAGGGAGTGCGAGGGAGGGCGGACCGAGGCAGCTCACCGGGGGCGGCGGCGGCGGCTCGGGGGTTCAGGGGTTGCCCACCGCCTGGAAGATTGGCGGTTCGATCCCAGCTTCAGATGCCCTGTATTACACAAAATGGATCCTAGGAGATTTAAGCCGTGTTTTAATGCTGTTACCTCCTCGAAAACAGACCCGGAGCAGTTTTCTTTCATTCGCACATGTTTGAATAATCCTGCATTATTTGTTTTATTATTAGCATTTTTCTAGTGGGAGTGTGTGGAGTTTAAAAACACAGTGGAGCACTTCTTGTTTTACCACGTGACATCACAAGGTGGAACAGAGCCAAAATCTGTAGGGTTTGTGTGTTAAACATGTGTGAATGAACAGAAACACAACACAGCTCCAAATCTGTTTGTGATGAGGAAACAACATTAAAACGGATCAGAAAACAAAGTAATAGAGGACTTATAAAGCCTTTAATACCATTGGTATTAAAGGATTTTAATTATTTTGTACTTTTTTGAGTGCCTCAGTTTTTTCCTACTTTGTGTTTGAGGACTGGTCCCTCCAACACGAAGAGCACCAAAAGGACAATTCTGTACATTTTTGTATGTCCAGGTAGCACTCCGGCATCCCAAAGCTTTGCACTATTTTCCCAATTTTTAGATTTTCGATTGATACATATTTTAGTGTGACGTGCAGTTATCCATCGGAGGGGTCCACAGTATGAGTGGCTTTGTTGTCATGACGTTTATGGTGACGTCAGCTCCCACTGGGCACCGTAGGTTTCCAGCGTGGAAGTCGGCAGTGAATTTTGCTATTAAAAATGTTCATAATGATGACATAACGATCAAAGATACCGTATTTTTCGGACTGTAAGTCGCACCAGCCAAAAAATGCATAATGAAGAGGGGAAAATTTCTTCTTTTAAATCAGAGACCAGGAACCGACATTTTATCTTTAACGTCAAGTTCTAGTAAAAACAATAGAAGAGAGAACAACAGACTGTTAACGTCACATATGAACAGTTCTTCAGATAAACTATAACATAAACAACAGAACAGAACAAGTTTAACAAACTCTCCATCTCACTCCAAGTCACTAAACCCATTCAATTCTTCATCCTCGGTGTCACTTCTGAGCAACTCCACGACCTCCGGAGGTAAACAGAGCGACACTTCCTCTTCTGTGTCGCTGTCGTCAGACTCGGCATCAGTTCCAGTTAGAATTATTCCAGCCTTTCTGAATCCCGACAGGATGGTTTCGGTGTCACTGAAGTCACTTAAAGGTAAAATTGCTCAGTGGTGCAGAAGTAACGGTGCGATGGACTGACATGATACAGACAGGACAGAGGCTCTTTCTGCAGGAGACATGCGCAGTAGAGCCAAGTGACAGTGGTACAGGAGGAACAGGAGCAGCAGATACTCACACACAAGACTAGAACCTCTCGTGACTTCAGTGTGAGAATTTTAATATATAAGTCGCTGGAAACACCCAAACCATGAAAAAAGTGCGACTCGTAGTCCGAAAAATATGATATATATCAGACACGAGCACGATAGGTCTTTCTTTAATGCCATACTGTGAGACATTCCTGGCAAAACGCTGAACAGCTGAAAACATCACAGTGCACATTTAAAACTGTTCTGGATTGTCTGTTTTTAGATTAGTCATTCTTAAACATATTTACGTTGAAGACAGTTTACACCTGTGCAGTGTTCATCATTTTCATTTGGCTCAAAAGTAGGTTTTAATCACATTTAATGAAAGGTTCACTTGGCCACATTGTGAGTTCAGTTTCAAGAGTTCTTATTGCTGCGCTAAGTACTTGGCCCCGCTTGTCCTCACGGAGGCAGAGACATTTGAAACGGGTGTAATCGGGGCTGTCCTGTGTGATGTTACATAGTACTTGGATTTGCAGTGGCCACAGAAGGCAGCACAAATTTAGATTTAAACATTTTGGACTACAAAGACGCAAATGTAATCTAGTTTGCACTTACAGTAAGTTGCCAGAAATGACTATGAACAATAAATAATAATAATAATAAATATATTACCATTAGTTTAGTAAAACAAAAAAGTAGATGTAATGTGCAGTTCCACTTAAAAAAAACAAAAACAAAATACAATACTGTGAGTGGGGCTGCTTCTCCACAGATCCACAGTATGTAATGCCACACTCTGGGACATCCAAGGCAGTATCTTCATGGACCAGGTGACAGACCCTCCACCTGAAAAAGTTACACAGTACACCTTTAAATGACTAAAGGTGTACTGTAAATTGTCTGTTTTCACATTAGTACTGAACATTTTTAAGTTTATAAGTATGCGGTGTTCATCATTTTGAAAACTTCATTTTTGCCTTGAGAAAATTCTCCTTCTAATTTATTTGTTTATTTATTTTTTTAATAATTTGTCTCAAAAGTAGGTTTATAATCTAGTTTTAATGAAAGGTTCACTTGACCATTGTGAGTTTTTATCGCAGCATTAAGTAACTGGTCCTTACAGAAAGAGGTTTAACGTCATATTGCGGAAAGTTTCAGGCTGAAAAGTTACATATTACAAACAAAAAAGTGGCCCCCGTAACAGCATCTTCCCTGAGGTCCCCACAAGTCTTAAAGTGGCCCTGTGTCCTTGAATAGGCATGATCCCGGGGGCCGCCAAGAAACGCGACATCTTTGAGCCGAGGAGCGCCACCCCTCCAAACCTGTGGCTGGGTACGGTCCGTGTGTGGAGTAGCGCAGAGGCCCCTGTGTGTGGTAGAAGTGTGCGGGGCTCCCGGGGGCCCCTCCATTTTACAATAGTGTCCTTTTCACAGATGTCTTTCTCCTCTGCCTAAAGGGTTTTAACTTTAAAGCTCCTATATTCTGCCAAATGCTTCGTTCCAAATGTGTAAATATAATCATACATGTAGAGGAACAGAGGGAAGAGTCAGGAGGACTTAAGGGAAGAGTGAAAAGAGGGATCAGTCCATAGGAAATCAGCCGCCCTCCCCTATGAGCCATCTCAGATTTGGCTGGAAAAAAAAAAAATCAGAAAGTCTCTAAAATGACCAAATGAAAGAGTCTCAAATTTTAGCTCAATCCCTTCAGAGTTATGGCCCGTTGAAATTTTGGGGCCATGCTCAGTTTTTCGGAAATCTTAATTTATAAGCAAGTTTGAGAGACCATGACTTCATAAAAAATTGAGCGTGGAAGCTGATTACCTCCGCCAAGGAAGTTATGTTTTTGCCGGCGTTTGTCTGTTTGTTTGTTTGTTTGTTTGTTTGTCTGTTAGCAACATAACTCAAAAAGTTATGGACCGATTTTGATGAAATTTTCAGGATTTGTTGGAAATGTGAAGAGGAAGAACTGATTTCATTTTGGGGGTGATCCGGAAGAAATCCTGGATTCTGGATCACTTTGAAATTTTAGTTAACATTGTGGTAAATGGGGCCAAAAATTTTGTTTCTCAATATCTCGGTTAATTATTGACCAAACCCCATGAAATTTGACTCAGGGATGGACAATGGGATCCTCTTTCATATTCCATCTTTCATATTCCAATTTTGCGCTCTCTGAGTGCTTTTCTAGTTATTATTGATTCTTGGTCAAAGATTTTGAATCTGTTGTCAAATATTGGGTCTCACATTTGGTTGCTGCTCAGTTTTTGTTTTTTGGTTGTTGTTTTTTTTCAATTTTTGAGGTCCAAGATCTATTTAATCCAAGCAGATATTTACAAACTAACTGTTGAACCTGAATATTTGAGAGAATGGCCATTTCTGACAGCAATCTCACACTTTTCTGAGCTTTCATGTGGACGGTGTAGACGCCCAAATAGGGTCACGGACCAAATGTGATCTTTTTGGCCCCTTCTTTGGAGCCTCTGTTCCCCATATGGGCACAGTTAGATGTTGATCATTTTTAGATATGCCAAGGAGAAACTTTGGCATATTCTGATTAGTTTAAAGTAATAAAAACATCTACTATTAACGGAATTTTTGAAAATGAGCTCTCACGGGTCATTGTTGGTGGAGCTTACTTACTTTTCCACCTGCTAGAAAGGTTAAATTACCTTTAATAGCCTTAAACACTAATTGCTTGTTATAACGGAAGACAAGTTGAGATTAAATTTAGAATCTATGACCAAGAATCTAAAATAGCTCTATTTTTTATGAAGTTATGGTCTCTCAGAAATGCTTATAAATTAAGGTGTCCGAAAAAGTGAGCATGGCCCTAACATTTCAGGAACGACTCAAGGGATTGAGCTAAAATTTGAGATTCTTTCATTTGGTTATTGTAGATTTTTTTTTTTTTTTTCATCCAAAGGTGAGATGGCTCATAGGGGAGATTCCTTGAAAATGTCTGTTTTGAGGACTAAAGGGGAGAGTGAAGAGCACAGTGCAGAATAAAGGACCTTTAATGCTCCAGCTGCCACCTTGGGTTAAAGGGAACAGTCGTGTTTTAGCCTAGTGATGTGTGACCCCTGCTGCCATAGTCCTGTAGGACCCCAGCCCTGCCCTGCCTCCTCCACTGTCAGTGTCGGGGAGTAACAGATTACATGTACCAGAGTAATCAGAGTACAAGTTATGAGTAACTGTATTCAGTTACAGTTACTGTTTCAGTGAGTGGTAATCGGATTACAGTTACTTTGTTGAAATAAATGGATTACATGGATGTATTTTCCTGTTTTCACTACTTCAGGACTAAAACCAGGACTAAACCAGGACTAAAACCAGACTAAACCAGGACTAAACCAGGACTAAACCAGGACTAAACCAGGACTAAACCCAGGACTAAACCAGGACTAAACCAGGACTAAAACCAGGACTAAACCAGGACTAAACCCAGGACTAAACCAGAAACTAAAACCAGGACTAAACCAAGACAGGACAAAAAAACAGGACTAAAACCAGGACTATTAAAAACTAAACCAGGACTAAAAACTCTAAAACCAGGACTAAAACCAGGTAACCAGGACTAAAACCAGGACTAAACCAGGACTAAACCAGGACTAAACCAGGACTAAACCAGGACTAAAACCAGGACTAAACCAGGACTAAAACCAGGACTAAAACCAGGACTAAACCAGACTAAACCAGGACTAAACCACTAAACCAAGACAAAAAAAAACAGGACTAAACCAGGTATTAAAATAGGACTAAATCTAAAACCAGACTAAAACCAGGTCTAAAACCAGGACTAAAAGAACCAGGACTAAACCAGACTAAACCAACTAAACCAGGACTAAACCAAGACAAGACAAAAAAACAGGACTAAACCAGGATTAAAATAGGACTAAATCAAGACTAAAACCAGGACTAAACCAGGACTAAAACCAGGACTAAACCAGGACTAAAACCAGGACTAAACCAGGACTAAACCAGGACTAAACCAAGACAAAAAAACAGGACTAAACCAGGACTAAAATCAGGACAATATCAAGTAATCCAAAGTATTCAGATTACGTTACTCACTTTAAGTAATTTAATGGATTACGTTACAAACTACATTTTGGTGTATGTAATCTGTAATCTGTAGGGGATTACATTTTAAAAGTGCAGGTTCTAGCTCTGTGTCTGTGCTGCAGGCCCCACGGTGCTGGAGGTCTTCAACACTCTCCTGAAGCACCTGCGTCTCAGTGTGGACTTCGAGCTGGGAGGAGACTCCAGGAGGAACTCAGCCATCAGCCTGTCGTCAGGACAGAGAGGCAAAGAGAGCGAAGAGCGCTACGTGCAGAACGCCATCATCCAGACCATAGGTGAGCCTCAACACCGCCTCAACACGACGCTGTTTAAAGCAGAGGGGACGTGACCAGTTTGATGTACAATGTCCTGTTCAACCCAGAGAAGAATTTCTTTTACTTTCTTTCTTTATTCTTAATTACAGAAACATTGTTGGCGATGTTTTTATTTGGTGTTTTGGTTCCCAAGATGATTATGTAACCAGAAAATAGAATGAGCCTCACATGAGTCTCTTATTTGGGTCACCAGTTTCAGTACAGAAATCCAGTCAGTTTAAACCTAAATTTCCTCTCTCTGATCCGAATCATCACTACCTAAACCCCTAGCCTGATTCATCAGATGGTTTCACTTTGTGGAAACTGTCTGACCTCACAGCCTTAGGATTCATTCGCTCCACGGTAGGCAGGTACTTTTTTTATTTAATCAATCGCTGCTATTTGGTTGTGTTGTATGTAATGCGCCAAATCCTGTAGGAAGAAGGACAATAACGTCTTTCCCCTTGATAAAATTCACCAGACATTCTCTTTGTTCCGGCTTTAAATCCTTGATCTCGGGAATCGTTGCCAACACAGAATGTCTGTCTTTGTTTACATTCATCTCGACTCTTTGTTTACTGTTGTGTTGTACCACAAAAGGGACACAGACAGATGCTTGAGTTTGACGTCATGGCTTCACAGCTCTTCACTGATTGGTCGGTGCTCAGTCTACAACTTCCAGGGTTTTTGTAAACCGTCTAGTGTATTCTGATTCCTGACCTAGTCGCTGGAGAGAAATGAAATAGTTCAGATGCACTAGGTGGCTCCAGCCTGGCTACTAAACCCCAACACCTGCAGCTCGGGGAGTAAAGGTTCTAAGCTTAATGTTTACCTGAATACTAATTGATCAAAATCGATTCTAATATTAAGATAGACATGATTGTCCAACCAGAGAAAGACAATAATGACTCACGTTGGCTGGCGTCTGTGTGTGGTGCAGGGTTTTTCGGGGGGAACCTGCCGGACTATCAGAGAGCAGAGGTGATGATGTTCATCATGGGGAAGGTGCCTGTGTACGGGACGCCCTGCCACACCCTGGACACGGTCAAGATCGGGTCAGTGCCCAATCGCTCCTCACCTCAACTCTGTCTCCTCCCCTCTCCCTCCTCATCTCCTCTCTCTCTCTCTCCTCATCCTCTCTCCTCATCCTCTCTCCTCATCTCTCTCTCCCTCTCCTCTCTCCTCATCCTCTCTCTCATCCTCTCTCTCTCTCTCTCATCCTCTCCTCTCTCTCTCTCCTCATCCTCTCTCCTCTCTCTCATCTCTCCTCATCTCTCTCCTCATCTCTCTCTCTCCTCTCTCCTCTCTCCTCATCCTCTCTCCTCTCTCCTCATCCTCTCTCCTCTCTCTCATCTCTCTCTCTCTCATCCTCTCTCCTCTCTCCTCACTCTCTCTCCTCATCTCTCTCTCCTCTCTCCTCATCCTCTCTCCTCTCTCCTCATCCTCTCTCCTCTCCTCATCTCTCCTCATCCTCTCTCCTCTCTCTCTCTCTCTCTCTCATCTCTCTCTCCTCATCCTCTCTCTCTCTCTCTCTCCTCATCTCCTCTCTCCTCTCTTCATCTCTCTCTCTCCTCATCCTCTCTCCTCTCTCCTCTCTCACTCCTCTCTCCTCTCTTCATCCTCTCTCCTCTCTTCATCCTCTCTCCTCTCTTCATCCTCTCTCCTCTCCTCTCTCCTCTCTTCATCTCTCTCTCTCTCTCCTCTCTCCTCATCCTCTCTCCTCTCTCCTCTCTCTCTCCTCTCCTCTCTTCATCTCTCTCATCCTCTCTCCTCTCTCTCCTCTCCTCTCTCTCTCTCTCTCTCTCCTCATCCTCTCTCATCCTCTCTCCTCTCTCCCTCTCTTCTCCTCCTCTCTCTCTCCTCATCCTCTCTCTCTCTCTCTCATCTCTCTCCTCATCCTCTCTCCTCTCTCCTCATCCTCTCTCTCTCTCTCCTCATCCTCTCTCCTCTCCCCTCCTCATCCTCTCTCTCATCCTCTCTCCTCCTCTCTCCTCTCTCATCCTCTCCTCTCTCCTCATCTCTCTCTCTCTCCTCATCCTCTCTCCTCATCCTCTCTCCTCTCTCTCTCTCCTCTCTCCTCTCTTCATCTCTCTCTCTCTCTCTCCTCATCCTCTCTCCTCTCTCTCTCTCATCTCTCTCTCCTCATCTCTCTCATCTCTCTCTCCTCATCCTCTCTCCTCTCTCATCTCTCTCTCCTCTCTTCTTCCTCTCTCCTCATCCTCTCTCCTCATCCTCTCTCCTCCTCATCCTCTCTCTCTCCTCATCTCTCTCTCTCTCCTCATCTCTCTCTCTCCTCATCCTCTCTCCTCATCCTCTCTCCTCTCTCTCCTCTCTCTCTCTCTCTCTCTCTCTCCTCTCTCCTCATCCTCTCTCCTCATCTCTCTCTCTCTCTCTCTCTCTCCTCTCTCTCACTCCTCTCTCCTCTCTCTCTCCTCATCCTCTCTCTCTCTCTCTCCTCATCCTCTCTCATCCTCTCTCTCTCTCTCTCCTCTCCCTCTCTCTCCTCACTCTCTCTCTCTCTCCTCTCTTCTCCTCTCTCCTCATCCTCTCTCCTCTCTCCTCATCTTCTCTACTCTCTCTCCTCTCTCCTCATCCTCTCTCCTCTCTCCTCTCTCCTCTCCTCATCTTCCCCTCTCTTCCCATTTCTCCATATCATTTTCATACTTTTTATTCTTCTTTTAAATAATTCAGAAAACATTACTTAATAACATGGGGTAAAAATAATGTCGTAAAGACGTGAGTGGAGTCTGCGTTCGCGTCTCTGGCTCTTGTTAAATGTTTCCTTGGTTGTGCGTGTGAGAGGGAGGGTCCCCTGCAGCGCTCCCAGCAGCGGCGCCCTCTTCCAGGCTGCTGCCATCGGATTATGCGCCCGTCTCCGGAGGCTCCAGGATTACTGCCAGTCCGTGCAGTTATTTTATTATTTCTTATTTTTGGAGCCAGCCTCGTGGTTGTTAGGGCAACAGTGAAGGGTGAAGCGAGGACACAGCGAGGGGCTCCGCGCCGAGTCTGAGCTCAAGAAATCACCGTTATTCTGCCTGACCCGCCGCGCTCCGCTCCGCCGTATGGCATATAAATGATCTGTTTCCATGGAGACGAGGAGGCGGTGCTGCCAGGTGAGGTTACAGGTCAGATCTGTAAAAGGCGACCCCCGTTCAGAGAAAGGACTCTGTGTGTTTTTCAGCAATAAAAACAACAACTGGAAAATGTACACAGTGCCCCTTTAGTCTGGATTTAGACCTGGTTTATTTAGTCTGGGTTTAGACCTGGTTTATTTAGTCTGGGTTTAGACCTGGTTTATTTAGTCTGGATTTAGACCTGGTTTATTTAGTCTGGGTTTAGACCTGGTTTATTTAGTCTGGGTTTAGACCTGGTTTATTTAGTCTGGATTTAGACCTGGTTTATTTAGTCTGGGTTTAGACCTGGATTATTTAGTCTGGGTTTAGACCTGGTTTATTTAGTCTTGGTTTAGACCTGGTTTATTTAGTCTGGGTTTAGACCTGGATTATTTAGTCTGGGTTTAGACCTGGTTTATTTAGTCTGGGTTTAGACCTGGTTTATTTAGTCTGGGTTTAGACCTGGTTTATTTAGTCTGGGTTTAGACCTGGTTTATTTAGTCTGGATTTAGACCTGGTTTATTTAGTCTGGGTTTAGACCTGGTTTATTTAGTCTTGGTTTAGACCTGGTTTATTTAGTCTGGGTTTAGACCTGGTTTATTTAGTCTTGGTTTAGACCTGGATTATTTAGTCTGGGTTTGGTCTTGGTTTATTTAGTCTGGGTTTAGACCTGGTTTATTTAGTCTTGGTTTAGACCTGGTTTATTTAGTCTGGTTTAGACCTGGTTTATTTAGTCTGGGTTTAGACCTGGTTTATTTAGTCTGGGTTTAGACCTGGTTTATTTAGTCTGGGTTTGGTCTTGGTTTATTTAGTCTGGGTTTAGACCTGGTTTATTTAGTCTGGATTTGGTCTGGTTTATTTTAGTCTGGGTTTAGACCTGGTTTATTTAGTCTGGATTTGGTCTTGGTTTATTTAGTCTGGGTTTAGACCTGGTTTATTTAGTCTGGGTTTAGACCTGGTTTATTTAGTCTGGTTTAGACCTGGTTTATTTAGTCTGGGTTTAGACCTGGTTTATTTAGTCTGGGTTTAGACCTGGTTTATTTAGTCTGGGTTTAGACCTGGTTTATTTAGTCTGGGTTTAGACCTGGTTTATTTAGTCTGGGTTTAGACCTGGTTTATTTAGTCTGGGTTTAGACCTGGTTTATTTAGTCTGGGTTTGGTCTTGGTTTATTTAGTCTAGGTTTGGATTTGGTTTATTTAGTCTGGGTTTAGACCTGGTTTATTTACTCTGGGTTTGGTCTTGGTTTATTTAGTCTGGGTTTATTTAGTCTAGGTTTGGTCTTGGTTTATTTAGTCTGGGTTTATTTAGTCTGGGTTTAGACCTGGTTTATTTAGTCTGGGTTTAGACCTGGTTTATTTAGTCTGGGTTTAGACCTGGTTTATTTAGTCTGGTTTAGACCTGGTTTATTTAGTCTGGGTTTGGTCTTGGTTTATTTAGTCTGGGTTTAGACCTGGTTTATTTAGTCTGGGTTTAGACCTGGTTTATTTAGTCTGGGTTTGGTCTTGGTTTATTTAGTCTGGGTTTATTTAGTCTAGGTTTGGATTTGGTTTATTTAGTCTGGGTGTAGACCTGGTTTAGTTCTGGTTTAGTCCCCCTGACTTCAGCTTTCCCGTCAGATCTGTGTTAATTTTTTTTTAGGTCCCTTTGCACTTTTAGATCTGAGATGACGGGGGCCACTGTGAGATTTTAACCAGATTTTAATGTGTCTCCTTCAGATAAAACTAGATTGTGTAAATTCACATGGAAGTGCTCCTTTCGGTTTTTAAAACCCGTTCAACTTCGCTGCACAACTGCACCACTGCTCACACTTTCTTTCAGACCTGTGCCCGTCTCCTGCCTGCACTGGTTGAAGAACAGCGCCATCTGCTGCCTGGATGAAACTGGTTTTAAATTGCTAATCGCTACGGCAACAGTCCTAATTTTGAGCATTCTGAAACCCACTGATAGAGTCCTGTCTTCAGTGAGAACATGAGCATGAATTCCCAGGTTTTTTTTTGTTTTTTTTACTGACTTGCTCGTAGGTTGGCGGTTCAGAACAGCTCCTGCAGGTGTCTTCCGTTGTGTCCTCGGGCAGCGCTTCATTTCTGTGGCTCTTTTTCCGTACATATCCAGTGTGTAAATCCTTGTGTTTGTGTTGCAGACATCAGGGCACCAAGCGTATCCAGACCATGCTGCTCAGCTCGCTCATCATGGTCAGTGCTTTTTATTATTATTATTTCATTATTTGTCATTTGAGTCTCGGCTCAGAATCGGCTTCATGTGGGCAGGTGTTTATCTGAATAAATTTGGACTTCATGACATAAATCCTGTATTTCAAGTTCAGATTTAGGTGAAAACAGGTTAAGGGTAAGGTTTGGTTTAAGGTTAGTCAAGTAGTGATTATGATTCACCCTTCCAGACCTACCAGCGGACATGTTTTACATAATCGCGCAAATTTTACATAATAGTGCACTTATTTCTCAAATCAATGGAAAATTACACATCTTGGTCTGCGTAATTGCACATCCCTCGCTATTTTTATTTGAAAAAATATTTTTTTTTCACTCAATGTGGCTCTGTGCCCTGGACTTGACACGAGCTGTTTCCACGACTGAAACCAGGAAAGTCATGGGGGCATTGCACTTTTTGTTTTGTTTTGAGGCAATAAGGATATTTTTAGTTTACTTACAGACTTCATATTTTGCATTTTTGTAGCTAAGGCCGTAAATTAAGCTTTTTGGCTGTGTGTTTTGTATGAAAAAGTGTGAATTTTATTTTTATTTTTCATTTGTATTTCTGGTCCTGTAGCTTTTATTACATCTATATGACACAACTACAGCAGCAGATTGTGAAATAACTGGTTGTACTGGAAAAACGGATGTATAACACTTCATTAGAGGGTAAACTTGGGAGATTGGGATTATAAGTGATGGTAAGGCGCACGTCTTGTTTTTTGGACAATCAGACAATATATATCGGACTTATTTTGTCCTCAAGACCTGATTATACGGTATATATTTTTACTGGAGCAAATTTTGCTCAAGTGCTATGGTTAAAGGTTGTATGGAGGATTTTTTTTTGTTTCAAACTGTCAGTGAAAGTTTAAAATACCATTACAGAGACGCAGCAGCTTTGTAATTATGATGACCAAAAAAAAAAAGAACGAAAATCTATCAACTGTGGACGTGTTGAGGCCGGATAAACATCAGCCAATAGAAAACGAGGCTCCCTCATTTTCTATTGGCTGTTCGGTTGTCAATCAAACTCCCTAGTATAACTGACTCGTCGGAGCGCGGGGATTACGTGGTTTACGCAGCGGTTCTTAAAGGCATTTTCGAACTGTCGCTTCCTCGCATTTCGCACAAAGTTTGTCGCGACGGCGGACGAGAATCCACGACCGGTTCGCCGCAATAGAAAGTCCGTTTTTGAGGTCGCTGAAAGAAGAAGAGAAGAGGAAAAGGAGCAAAGCCAAACTGAGGTGATTCTTGGAGATCTCGTCCAGCGATGGCGATGATGAATTACTTCTAGACAGGAAACTTCAACAGTAATTCTGAACGCGCACAAGGACTGTCGCTGTATTTCTCTTCCCTTAAAACAATCCTCTATACAACCTTTAAGGAAAAATCTCTGGGAAATGAATATAAGTCTGTAATGTCACCAGAGACAGAATATGTAAACTCTGTGTGTGTTTGTGTGTTTTTGTTTTAGGTAACGTCCGGCTTCAAGTCCAAGTCAATGTCCGCGGCGCTGCCCTCCACCTTCCTCGACCCGCTCTTCTCCATCTCGCTCATGGAGGACAGCGAGCTCCGCCAACTGGTGCTGGAGATCCTGCACAACATCATCGATCGCCACGACAACCGCGCCAAGCTCCGAGGCATCAGGTCTGTCTTTAAAGCTGCCCTCTGTCACTTTTGGAATGGAGGGTTGCCAGCTTGTTTCCATGGAGATGTTATGAGCAGGAAGTGTTTCAAACGTGTCCGTCTTGTGGTGCAGGTTTTAATGTGGCAGAGACGTTTTAGGGAAAGCAATAATATCGCCATGGAGACAAGCAGGTAGAGGATTGATCAGAAAGGTTACACAGTGCGTCTTTAAACTCTCCACTGAGTCACTGAAGTCATGTCTGAGTGGAATTGTGGAAGCCTTGTACTTTTTGGCAGTGAAAGGTGTCACTTAAATCGTTTTGTTTTTAATCTAATTGAGTTTAAAAACGACTGAACTTTTCATTTTTTCCTCAGAATAATCCCCAACGTGGCTGCTATAAAAATCAAACGAGAGAAGATTTCCAAACAGGACGTGGCCTTTATGAAAAAGGTACATGATATTTTTCAAATCGATTTGATATGGTTCCATAAATAATAAAGTCTAAATCGTGGCTGTGATACTAAAAGTTTTTGTTAAACCACTTCTTGTGCAAACTTCATATGAAACACAAACATTTTAATCATCAAAACAGTGAAAATGTCAAATATGTCTCATTAACGAGTTTCCTTTCTCTAAACAAGGAACAAAACTTTAACAAAATTATTTAGTAAAATATAGAATAGAATAGAATAGAATAGAAAGCCTTTATTGTCATTATATAGAGTATAAGGTATAATAATAATGTATATATAATAATGTAGTGTAATAGTATAATAATAGTATAATGAAATTCAGAGCTGCTCCATCAAAGTGCAAGAATGAATAATAAATCAAAACAAATTACCAGTTCTCATTAAGTAAAAACCAAAAAATACTACTACTACTACTACTACTACTACTACTACTACTACTACTACTACTACTACTACTACTACTACTACTACTACTACTACTTGGTGATATATCGATACAGCAGCCCACGATATCGATACTGTATCATCACATTAAACGATACGATATATCAACATTTTGATATTTTTGCACACTCCTACTTTTCACCATGTCCCTCAGTGTTAGAAAGATCTTATTCCTTTCAGCAGCGCCCTCTGCTGGTCATGTGAGATTCATAGAACTGTATTTGGTTGTAACTTTTGTTCTCTATTATCTCGTGATTTAAATAGGTTCATCTTGTTTTTAAGTGTGTACTTCACCGCCTGTACAGCACAGTGGTCACCTGACGCTGTTTTAAACGTGCTTTATAAACACATTTCATACTGACACTTGTCCTGACGTGTGTTCGTGTCGTGTGCAGCACGGGCAGCAGCTCTACCGGCACATCTATCTGGGCTGTAAGGAGGAGGACAACACCCACAAGAACTTCGAGCTGCTCTTCACCACGCTGGCTGTGCTGACCATCGAGCTGGCCAACGAGGAGGTGGTCATCGACCTGATCCGACTGGCTCTGGCTCTCCAGGTGGGCCCCTGCACCTCAACACACGGGTTCAGAGAGAGAGAGCGTTCGAAAAGACCGGAGCGTTAGTTTATGGATTGTACCAGATTTGACCAGCGCTGGTGTGTAGGCTCTGCTGGAGCGATTGCCTTCCACGCTCACCTCCTCAGTGACTTACAGAGAACACAGAGAACGGATCTGAAGACTTCTGTTGTGACATTTGGCCCAATCAGCTCGGGAGTATTTGACTCCTCATCACTTTCCCTGAGAGTGATCCCAGTTTCACAATGTGCAGGACTAGAGCCACACAGACTCACTGAGCTTGTCCTGGGTCTCATAAAAAACTATGTGGATAATATATTGTGGATAAACAGTAGATCATATCCATCCTAGGCCTGTAACGATAACAGATTTTGCTGGACGATTAATTGACCGAGAATTTATTGCGTTAAACGATAATATTGACATTTTGAGACCAATTTCAACTAATATAATGACCATGGAATAAAAATGCAAATACACCCTTTCAAAGATCAATAAACCTTACTTTCTAAAGAACATTTAACACAGGAACTGCAAGACAAACAAAAACAACAGGCCTAAATAAAACAGACTTGTTAATACAGGACAAGTCTAATGTGTCTGGCTCACAGCGAGGACTTGTTAAAAATGCACTTGAATAAACCATTGCTGAACCAAACACAACCAAAACAATAAATAAAATGGATTATTAAGTCTCTGTAACAAAATTACCCTTAAAAGTGATTTCAGTCGTTGACGTACATTGGAATATTGTGTCTCTTCTCTCTGTGGCTGCTGCTGTGAGTCTCATCATTTTGGTCATTTAAATGTTCGTATAAACAGGATTTTATTTCTCTATGAGGGAGCCACTGTCCTGTCTGGTGTCGTGTCGGTGTCTTGTGGGATTTCAGTGGATTTTGGGCTCTTCGCCGGGGGCGGGGCTAGTTCTGTCGCTCAGCTGTTGGTGTTTGAGACATTTCCTCTCGCCGTTTGCGTTTCGCTTGCTGCATTTGACACACGTGGTTGTTGAGACGTTTCCCGCTCGCCAGTGTTGATTCGGCATCGTGACTTGTTTTGGCACTCGGCGATGAACTGTTTTGGTTGTGTCGCGGCTTCATGTTAAACCACACAGACAGCGGCGCTTTCTGCACTCAGGCTACGTGTCGATAAACACAGCGCACGTTGGTTCAAGCGTCGTTACACTTGTTAAACGAGAGGAGTCAGAGAGCGATAGAAACTTCTAACATTCACCGTCTTTGAGAGCGAGAGAGAGCGAGGAAAACAAACAAACATGCAAATAGAATTTATCGTGGCCGGAAAAGTTATCGAGCTCGTTAAAAGTTATCGTACGATTAACTGATTAATTGATTATCGTTACAGGCCTAATGCATCCATCCATTTTCTTCCGCTTATCCAGGGGCGGGTTCGCGGGGGCAGCAGCCTAAGCAGGAACTCCCAGACTTCCTTCACCCCAGACACGTCCAGTATATCCAGTGTTGGGAAGGTTACTTTTAAAATGTATTCCCCTACAGATTACAGATTACATACCCCAAAATGTAGTTTGTAACGTAATCCATTAAATTACTGAAAGTGAGTAATGTAATCTGAATACTTTGGATTACTTGATATTGTCGTGCTTTTTAAAACTACATGAATTTAGCGACCACATCCTGAAAATTCATGTTTGTTCTCTTCAAATTGGCCCTGGTTTAGTCCTGGTTTAAAACTAGTTTAGACCTGGTTTAGTCCTGGTTTAGATCTGGTTTTAGTCCTGGTTTAGATCTGGTTTAGTCCTGGTTTAGTCCTGGTTTTAGACCTGGTTTAGTCCTGGTTTAGTCATGAATTAGTCCTCGTTTAGTCCTGCTTTAGTCCTTCTTTAGACCTGATTTTGTCCTTCTTTAGTCCTCGTTTAGTCCTGCTTTAGTCCTCGTTTAGTCCTGCTTTAGTCCTTCTTTAGTCCTCGTTTAGTCCTTCTTTAGACCTGGTTTAGTCCTTCTTTAGACCTGGTTTAGTCCTGCTTTAGTCCTCGTTTAGTCCTGCTTTAGTCCTTCTTTAGACCTGGTTTAGTCCTTCTTTAGTCCTGGTTTAGTCCTGGTTTTAGTCCTGGTTTAGACCTGGTTTAGTCCTTCTTTAGTCCTTCTTTAGACCTGGTTTAGTCCTGGTTTAGTCCTGGTTTAGGCCAAAATGTGAAAACGGCAAAATACCGCTGTGTAATCCGTTTATTTCCACAAAGTAACTGTAATCCAATTACCACTCACTGAATCAGTAACTGTAACTGAATACAGTTACTCATAATTTGTACTCTGAGTACGTAACTCCGGTACATGTAATCTGTTACTCCCCAACACTGAGTATATCATATAGAATATAAAATAACCTATATATGAGGGTAAAATAAGATGAAAACTACCACTTGGTGACATCACAAGGTGAAAAAGAGCATTTTGAATGAAACAAAACACAACACAAGGAATATTTTGAGGATGTAGCAGTCAAAACAACACTCTTTTTTTTCATTTTTTTTTTCATATAAGACCTTTAAAGCCGCAAGAATGTACAACACGTGCTCTTTAATGAATATCTTTGCTGTGTTCAGAACTCGAGCTTCTCAAGAGCCAAATGTAAAGACGCGAAGAGCTCAGGAGGCCACGCGTGCACAGTGTGACAGTTCGCTCTGGTCTGATCCTGCCGCTCCCTCGTGCACAATACTCGAGCTACGCCGTTGAAAAGCTCAAATATATCCCAATCCTTTGACCCGAGTTCCGCGGCCTCATTATCTCTGTGTGTGTGAGTTTTCTGAAGTCTGATTTAGTCCATGAAAAGGCCATCGTCATAGAAACCAGGTGAGAAAAGCCTCCGTCTGACTGCAGGAGTGCATTCGGGAGCTTTTCTCTCTGGTCGGTAATGGGTCCACCTCTGGACTCACGCTAAACTAATCACAATCACAACTGTCAGGTTTTTACGCCAGATGCCCTTCCAAGCAACGGCATGAGCGACTGATGCTTTAACAGAGGCGCCACAGCAGAGTGAGGTTAGGCCGAGGTTGAACTTTCTAAACTAGTCATCTGCATTATAAGTACGATTTTTTTTCTTTCAGTGTTAATGTTGTTTATTAGTGATGGTGAGATGAAGCCGCATAATCCGTGTATCATTCGTTCGTTCGTTTTTCAATATAAAACCAAAAATAAGAAAATGAAAAAACAACAGTTTTCTTCATTATTTGTCTCCAAAACAAAAATGAAAAAAATGAATAACAATTTGTTTTTTCAGTTTGATTTTGTGTTTAAATGAAGAATGGAAAAAACGGATAACGACCGTTTCCCGTTTACGTGACTTCCGTGACTGCAGTGCTGAACTTTTGTACTGCACACGGACTGAACCAGGAATGAACCAGGTCCGGGACCAGACCAGGACCAGACCGAGACCGAGACTGAGATCAGGACGGGACCAAACCGGAGGTTCAGAGCCCATGGCAGGGCCGGAGCTCGAAGCTGAGGCTTGAACCCCGCTGAGGCTCAGAGTCAAAGCTCGAAGTCCGCCCTGGTCCCGGTCTGGTCCCGGTCTGGTCCCGGTCTGGTCCCGGTCTGGTCCCGGTCTGGTCCCGGACCTGGATCAGTCCATATGCAGCGCAAAAGTCCGGCATCGCAGTCACGGAAGTCACGTAAACGGGAAACGGTCATTATCTGTTTTTTCCATTCTTCATTTAAACACAAAATCAAAAACTGAAAAAAAGGAATCGTTATCTGTTTTTTCATTTTGGATTAGGAGACAAATAATGAAGAAAACTGTTGTTTTTTCATTCTCTTATTTTTAGTTTTATATTGAAAAACCTAATGAATGAATGATACATGGATTCCCCATGAAGCACTGAAGCGTTCCATCCGTTTGCTCGACTGCTTCAAGATGCTTCATTTGCTCCACTGCGCCATCAAGTGTCCAAAAAATGTATAACAGGCAGAATGAAAATAGAGCAGTTGACATGATCATCGAGGTTCTGATGGAAAGATTTATACTGAACAAATGAATGATTAAATATTTGAATATTTGTGGTATCAACATAAATTGTGAATTTATTTACATGGAGTCTGTTCATGATATAATGAACGGGTTAAAAGAAAAAGTAGACACTTCACCTGATTTTTTTTTTTTTTTTTTACAAGAAATATATTAGACCAGGAGAAACAGTGTGTTGTCAGATTTGTGTATTTAGTAGTTTAGTTTATTTTACATCATTATTTCTATATATTTTATGTGGAGATATCACCTCAAAATGTTCCCAAACAGGGGAAAATATTATTTTTCTTACTCCATCGCAAAAAAAAAAAAAAATAAAAAATCTCAAGAATCTCAAATAGAATGTACCAAACTCACAATAACCCAACACCACAAAATGTGAGGGGGAATCCGTTGCGTTTCTTTGGTCGTTATAATTCAAATGGTAAATGGTAAATGGTCACATTTTTCTATAGCGCTTTTCCACCTTCAAGGCACTCAAAGCGCTTTATCGCGCCCCAAATCCACGAACTGCTTCCTGAACCGGTCACGTGGTACGGCCCGTTCGTGAGGCTTCGAACGTCACCACATACGTCACCGATACGAGCCTCGATACGCGCTTCACGAAAGCCTTTCTGGATTACTCGGCACACGCTTCGAAGCCTCAATACGGACGACATATCACTACTGTTTATTCCTTCTGTAAACCTAAACTATAGTGCACACTTAACAAAGGTCACTGCACTTCACATCTGCGTCTGCGTCTGTGTCTGTGTCGTACAGGACATGGCGGCTCTGAACGAGGAGAACCTGCCCATGTGGCCGCGCTGTGGCATCATGGCGCTGGTGGCGGCTTACCTCAACTTCCTGAGTCAGATGATCGCGAACTCTGCTTTCTGCCAGCACGTCAGCAAGGTAAAGACCCTCACGCAGACACAACGAATAACCTGGTTTGTGTGACAGGCTGAAGTCTGTAATAACATGTAAGAGCTGAGCTGTGCGTGTGTGTTGCGCAGGTGATTGAGCTGAGGACTCTGGACGCTCCGTACCTGCTGCCTGAGCACATCTTCAGAGACAAGTGTCCGTGAGTGTCTCTCTGGAGCTGTAGCGTCATCTCACATCAGCACGTTTATGATTCTGTGTCGGGGCTGGTCCAGAAATCCAAAGATCCACAGGCTGTGATGTAAACTTTGGTCAATCTCGATGATAAGGCACAACTGGTCAACAGGTCCTAACTTGGCTCACAGCAGAGAAGCATTAGGGTCTGGTCAAGTGGTAACGGAGGGAAACGGGCAGATTTTTTTGACATTCAAATGTCTCTTATTCAGAAACTAGAGGGACTATTGAAATAAGTAAAGTATCAGAATGTAGGAAAGAGTTACACTCCAACAGGGTCAAGTTAAACCTGTGATATTCTTTCAAGCTGTTGACAAAAATTTTAAAAAACTCATGTCGGTAACGGAGGGAATGAAATATGCAGCACTTTTTGGGCAATAAATCCAAACAGTGAAAACTCTTGGTTCTCACGTACATATCCTTAACAAACTGGTTTGAATATTTGCTTCATATAGTTTTCTACCATATGGTACAAGATTAGGTTGAAAAACCTCTTACTTTTTTTGATTTTTTATTAAGAAAGGTCATGGTAACGGAGGGAAAAAGTAACGGAGGGAAAATTGTGCATGTACCTTCATCAACATTTCAAAGATGGAATAACACAAGATATGATGAAATACATCCATTTATTTACATGATTTTCAGGTCTTTGAAATTTGGGAAATAATTTTTTGTTCCATGTTTCATACATGGTCTGTTTAAAACGTATGTAACTTTAGAACCAAAAATGGTACAGAAAAAAGGTCAACAGTTTCATAAACTAGAGTACATATGTATCTGTTCAATACATTTTTATATCAGATGCATTAACTTGAATTTTTGGCCTTGTTGTTTACTTCTGCTTGACCGGGCTCATTACAAGAGCAGAACAGACCTAAAATTCTAAACTTTTGTTACGTCCAGTTGAGAGAAAAGCACAGACAGCTTCCCTGTCCACAAATCCACAAAGTGCTTCCCTCTGCATGTTTTCACAAACTAACATCCTCCCTGTGTCTGTGAGGGAGTGTAGTCCTCTGGGACATGTTTATTCAACCTTAAATAACTTAAAGAGAGTCAGGGCTGTGAGCATCAGTGATCTACTGTCTTTAGGAAATATCACAATATGTATCTGTACACTTTTACCTGCTGTCACTGTGACTCTGCTCAGGGACTGCACATGAAAAGGAGCCTGTAGCTAAATCTAGTCTGTGCTATACAGTACTTTTATTGTGAAATGTCAAACCACAGCTGCTCTGTGATTGGTCTGTAAAAAACAAAAGACAGACGCACAGACAGAGCAGGGTCTCAGGATCACTACAGTTTTAGTATTTATGGTGATGGGACCAGTAATTCTGGATAAATTCACATTTAAAGTCTGGACTGAGTTTGTACGATGTATTAAACCCAGTACGTACGTGCTTTACCGCTCGTGGCAGAAACATGTGCGCGCTGTAACGTGTGGCAGTGTTCCGACGGAGAACACTAACTATAGCCCTTAACATGTGCTCTGGGAAGGCTGAGAGACGAGCGAGACTTGATGATTTCCACTGATACTTGGTTTATTACACATTTAGAAACCATACGATGCCAGGTCTGAATCACACATGAAATAGAAATGAGTCCGTTTAAAATCGGTACCGCACATGACTTGAGTCGTAGAGCACAGAGGTGTGTGTCCATTACACAGCACCGCAACAAGCGAGTGACCTGTGACCTTACAGTGTAATAAAAATAAAAGGGCGCCGCCACATGGTGCAATCAGGTATTACAGTATCAATAGTAATATAAATGTAGTGCTGACTGTTACAGTGCGTTAACGTTATCAACAGAAACATGTGCGATGTCCTGGTCATCGTGCTGGTTCGGGGATTTCATCAGGAGAGTGTTGAATCCTCTTCAGTACCGCGTGTTCATACTGCCACCTGATTGGCTGTAGACCTGTCGATTAAAATGCACTTGTCTTGCCATCAAGATAGCCTAAAGTCTAGACTGTGGTCTTTTGATTTTTGGTACAGCCCGAGCAGGTCCAGTCTGAACCCTGTCTCCTTTCTGCTCAGTGGAGTGAGCATAAAGCTTTTCAAAGAAGCACGAGGTCACAGACCAGTGTTCGATCAAAACAGAAATAGAAAAGAGAAATAGAAATACTTGTTTTCTTCTTTTCAGTCTTAAGCTTGTGCAGACAAAAGAAATTCTCTCAAAAATCCATAGTAAATGTGTGTTTTTTTTGTAGTGCTGTCAATCCATCAAACGGATGAATCACACTAAATGTGACATTCTAAACATGTTTGCACATTTTCAGAAGTTTGTAACAGAAGGAGACAAACACATTCAGAGCTTCAGTCTGGAGACGTCTCGTGAATGTTTCTGTAATCCTCAGCCCACTGATGGACTTGAACAGATTGGACATGATCACTATTAGTCCTGGTCTTTTGTCTTATGTGAGTCGTGTGTCCTCTGTCCTTTTGTCCCAGTCTGCCTGAGACTCTGGAGAAGGAGGACACACAACTGTACTTCCAAACCTCTGAACTGGCCGAATGTCTGTCAGGACCAGGCTACAACTCCGAGAGACTGTCCATCCCCTACGTCCCCCAGGTCACAGGTAAGACCGTCCCCAACACGTCCCCAACACGTCCCCAACACGTCCCCAACATGTCCCCAACACCCCAACATGTCCCCAACGTCCCCAACATGTCCCCAACACGTCCCCAACACGTCCCCAACACGTCCCCAACATGTCCCCAACATGTCCCCAACATGAACCCAACATGAACCCAACACGTCCCCAACATGTCCCCAACATGTCCCCAACATGAACCCAACATGAACCCAACATGTCCCCAACATGTCCCCAACATGTCCCCAACATGTCCCCAACATGAACCCAACACGTCCCCAACATGTCCCCAACGTGTCCCCAACATGTCCCCAACATGAACCCAACATGAACCCAACATGTCCCCAACATGTCCCAACACGTCCCCAACACGTCCCCAACATGTCCCCAACACGTCCCCAACACGTCCCCAACATGAACCCAACATGTCCCCAACATGAACCCAACATGTCCCCAACATGTCCCCAACATGTCCCCAACACGTTCCCCAACACGTCCCCAACAACGTCCCCCACATGTCCCCAACATGAACCCCAACATCCCAACATGAACCCAACATGTCCCCAACATGTCCCCAACACGTCCCCCCCCCACACGTCCCCAACATGTCCCCAACACGTCCCCAACACGTCCCCAACACGTCCCCAACATGAACCCAACATGTCCCAACATGTCCCCAACACGTCCCCAACACGTCCCAACACGTCCCCAACACGTCCCCAACACGTCCCCAATGTCCCCAACATGTCCCCAACATGTCCCCAACATGTCCCCAACATGTCCCCAACACGTCCCAACATGAACCCAACATGAACCCAACATGTCCCCAACATGTCCCCAACATGAACCCAACATGTCCCACGTCCCCAACATGTCCCAACGCGTCCCCAACATGAACCCAACATGTCCCCAACGCGTCCCCAACACGTCCCCAACATGTCCCCAACATGTCCCCAACGCGTCCCAACACGTCCCCAACATGAACCCAACATGAACCCAACATGTCCCCACATGTCCCCAACGTCCCCAACATGTCCCCAACACGTCCCCAACATGTCCCCAACACGTCCCCAACACGTCCCCAACGCGTCCCCAACGTCCCCAACATCCCCACGCGTCCCCAACACGTCCCCAACACGTCCCCAACATGAACCCAACATGTCCCCAACATGACCCCAACATGTCCCCAACATGAACCCAACATGTCCCCAACGTGTCCCCAACACGTCCCCAACGCGTCCCCAACATGAACCCAACATGTCCCCAACGTCCCAACACGTCCCCAACACGTCCCCAACATGTCCCCAACGCGTCCCCAACACGTCCCCAACATGTCCCCAACATGTCCCCAAGTCCCAACACGTCCCCAACATGAACCCAACATGAACCCAACATGTCCCCAACATGTTCCCCAACATGTCCCCAACATCCCCAACATGTCCCCAACGCGTCCCCAACATGTCCCCAACATGTCCCCAACACGTCCCCAACATGTCCCCAACACGTCCCCAACATCCCCAACATGAACCCAACATGTCCCCAACATGTCCCAACATGTCCCCAACGCGTCCCCAACATGTCCCCAACATGTCCCCAACCCCAACGCGTCCCCAACATGTCCCCAACACGTCCCCAACATGAACCCAACATGAACCCAACATGTCCCCAACATGTCCCAACATGTCCCCAACGCGTCACCCAACACGTCCCCAACATGTCCCCCAACACGTCCCCAACACATGTCCCCAACGCGTCCCCAACGCGTCCCCAACATGTCCCCAACATGTCCCCAACACGTCCCCAACATGTCCCCAACGCGTCCCCAACACGTCCCCAACATGTCCCCAACACGTCCCCAACACGTCCCCAACGCGTCCCCAACATGTCCCCAACGCGTCCCCAACACCCCAACACGTCCCCAACATGAACCCAACATGTCCCCAACACGTCCCCAACACGTCCCCAACGCGTCCCCAACACGTCCCCAACACGTCCCCAACATGTCCCCAACACGTCCCCAACACGTCCCCAACACGTCCCCAACACGTCCCCAACATGAACCCAACATGAACCCAACATGAACCCAACATGTCCCCAACATGTCCCCAACACGTCCCCAACACGTCCCCAACACGTCCCCAACACGTCCCCAACATGTCCCCAACACGTCCCCAACACGTCCCCAACACGTCCCCAACATGAACCCAACATGTCCCCAACATGAACCCAACACGTCCCCAACATGTCCCCAACATGTCCCCAACATGTCCCCTATGTCCAAAACCTGAGCTTGACAGATCTTAGAAGGGACGAGGGTGGGCCTGGTTACTACTTAGATGTGAGACCATTGGGAATACCGGGTGCCACAGTGGGAATATCAGGTGTTACAGTGGGAATACCCGGTGCCACAGTGGGAATATCAGGTGTTACAGTGGGAATACCGGGTGCCACAGTGGGAATATCAGGTGTTACAGTGGGAATACCGGGTGTTACAGTGGGAATACCGGGTGTCACAGTGGGAATACCGGGTGTCACAGTGGGAATACCGGGTGTCACAGTGGGAATACCGGGTGCCACAGTGGGAATACCGGGTGTTACAGTGGGAATACCGGGTGTTACAGTGGGGATATTAGGTGTCACAGTGGGAATACCGGGTGTCACAGTGGGAATATCGGGTGTTACAGTGGGAATATCGGGTGTTACAGTGGGAATATCGGGTGTTACAGTGGGAATACCGGGTGTCACAGTGGGAATATCGGGTGTTACAGTGGGAATATCGGGTGTTACAGTGGGAATACCCGGGTGCCACAGTGGGAATACCAAGAGCCACAGTGGGAATACCGGTATCAGGTCTCAATAACCATTGTTGTGTCTTTGGGCAAGGTGTTTTGGCACCCACGTTGCCTAGTGTGAATGTGGTGTGTGTGAGTGTGTGTGGTGGTGTAGAATGGGAGCCTTGGTTTCACCAGTTTGGAGTGAATGAATAATGCTCTGTTAAGCGTCTTTGACTGTCCAAAAAAAAAGTTAGCTGGATGAAGTAGAACCGTAGTTACAAACATAACTCTTGTTTTTGGTGTCAACTGAACGAGCCTTTCTCCTGTCAGTGCTGTACACTGTGGGCAAAATCCTGCACCGCTGCAAACAGACATCCAGAGGTACACAGCCACGACCTGTAGGCCCCTAAAAGCTTCTTACGGCTCCTGTAGGCTCCTAAAGGCTCCATTTAGGCTCCTGTAGGTCTTCCTTTGCACCTGTAACAGCCCATGAACCTTCACCCTGCAAACCGAGATCCAGAGGTGCACAGCCACATCATGAGGGCCGTCGTAGGCTCCTGTAAACTCCTAAAGGCTCCTGTAGGCTCCTGTCAGATGAGTCACAGAGCCACATCCTTGTTTCCTGTAGACTCCTGTAGTGCTGCCTTAGTGAGACTGGGAGCAGAGTTTAGTGTAGCTTTAATGTCACATAAACTTTCTACCAGAAAACTGACATGAAGACGTGCAGAGCTGAGCACAATCCGTGTATCATTCGATCATTTGTTTTTCAAAATAAAACCAAAAATAAGAAAATGAAAAAAACTCTATTTTCTTTATTATTTGTCTTCAAAACCAAAATGAAAAACAAATAACGATTTGTTTTTTTCAGTTTTCGATTTTGTGTTTAAATGAATAAAGTTAAAAAACGGATAACCACCGTTTCCCGTTTCCGTGACTTAAACTGTGAAGCCGGAATTTTGCGCTGCATACAGACTGAAACAGGACTAAACCAGGACTAAACCAGAACTGAACCAGGACTAAACCAGGACTAAAACAGAACTAAACTAGAACTGAACCAAGGACTAAATCAGGGCTAAACCAGTCTAAATACTGATCTCAATCCTGGTCTCAGTCCTGGTCTCAGTCCTGGTCTCAGTCCCGGTCAGGGTCCTGGTCTTGTCCCGCTCTGGTCCCGGTCTCAGTCTCAGTCCCTGTCTCAGTCCCGGTCTGGTCACGGTCTCAGTCCTGATCACCCGACAGTCTACACGAGCGCACGAGTCTGGGTTCAGTCCTGACCTGGTTTAGACCTGGTTTAGACCTGGTTTAGACCTGATTTAATCCTGTTTTAGTCTTGGTTTATTTTGAAAAACAAATGAACAAATGACACACAGATTCTAGCGCCCTTTGCCAGCTTCCCCTAGATGTTCTCCAGGATGTCCACATGAGGCTCCCGTTGACTCCTGTAGGCTCTTGTAGCTTCCTTTAGGCTCTCGTAGGTTCCTTTAGGCTCTCGTAGGTTCCTTTAGGCTCTCGTAGGTTCCTTTAGGCTCTCGTAGGTTCCTTTAGGCTCTTGTCGGTTCCTTTAGGCTCTCGTAGGTTCCTTTAGGCTCTCGTAGTTTCCTTTAGGGTCTCGTAGATTCCTTTAGGCTCTCGTAGGTTCCTTTAGGCTCTTGTAGTTTCCTTTAGGGTCTTGTAGATTCCTTTAGGCTCGCGTAGGTTCCTTTAGGCTCTCGTAGGTTCCTTTAGGCTCTTGTAGTTTCCTTTAGGGTCTCGTAGATTCCTTTAGGCTCGCGTAGGTTCCTTTAGGCTCTTGTAGGTTCCTTTAGGCTCTTGTAGGTTCCTTTAGGCTCTCGTAGGTTCCTTTAGGCTCTCGTAGATTCCTTTAGACTCTCGTAGGTTCCTTTAGGCTCTTGTAGGTTCCTTTAGGCTCTTGTAGTTTCCTTTAGGGTCTTGTAGATTCCTTTAGGCTCGCGTAGGTTCCTTTAGGCTCTCGTAGGTTCCTTTAGGCTCTTGTAGTTTCCTTTAGGGTCTCGTAGATTCCTTTAGGCTCTCGTAGATTCCTTTAGGCTCTTGTAGTTTCCTTAGGCTCTTAGGTTCCTTTCGGGTCTCGTAGGTTCCTTTAGGCTCTAGATTCCTTTAGGACTCTCGTAGGTTCCTTTAGGCTCTTGTAGGTTCCTTTAGGCTCTTGTAGGTTCCTTTAGGCTCTCGTAGGTTCCTTTAGGCTCTCGTAGGTTCCTTTAGGCTCTCGTAGGTTCCTTTAGGGTCTCGTAGATTCCTTTAGGCTCTCGTAGATTCCTTTAGGCTCTTGTAGGTTCCTTTAGGCTCTCGTAGGTTCCTTTAGGCTCTTGTAGGTTCCTTTCGGGTCTTGTAGGTTCCTTTAGGCTCTCGTAGATTCCTTTAGACTCTCGTAGGTTCCTTTAGGCTCTTGTAGGTTCCTTTAGGCTCTCGTAGGTTCCTTTAGGCTCTTGTAGGTTCCTTTAGGCTCTCGTAGGTTCCTTTAGGCTCTTGTAGGTTCCTTTAGGGCAACTTCTGGCTCCTGTAGGCCTGTCTTAGTGAGAGCAGACTTTAAACAACAGGACTAAACTAAATCCAGTTCTGACGTTGTCTTTTTAACTTTTTAACTTTCCTGTGCCGGTCCTGGACGTGTGCGTGGTAAGTGTCCGCATGTAGAGGGCGCTGTCGGGTGCCCATGCTGGATGTGGTTGGCTTCAGTTCTTGTGTCTTCTGTCTGACATTTAAAGGGCCCACATTACGCTATTTTCTGAGCTATGCGAGTTTAGAATCTTGTTTCTTCGTCACAAACAGACCTGGAGTTGGGTTTTGTTTCAGAGATGTTTAACGCACAGACCCTGCAGATGTTTTTGAGGAGGTAACAACAGCCTAACAATAAAAGTAACAAGAGACAAGTTTGCGTAATGTGGGACCTTTAAGAGACCACCTGCAGAATGACCTCAGTGCAAATATATCTGTATTTCTTCATGTTTTGAACGTGGGAGATGGTCGAGTCGGTGTTGTTTACGCATCAGACAAATGAAAACAGAACAAACAGAATCAGTTCAACTCCGGAAAACTCCAGTTCTTCTCGCACTGCTCCACAAAGACTTAAAGTGCCTATGACAGGTTAGACTGCTTATTTTCATCTTCACTCTCATCATTTTACATATTTTTTTCTTCACAAAGTGTTTCTTGAATGGTGTAAAACTGTCATTTTTATTGACAACAGGTTTTATTCCACCAACACAAGCAGAAACAGTCCAAATCTGTCATACGCACTTTAAGTAACAAGGACTTCAAGAACCGAAAGCCAGTTTGAATGGAAGACGATGCATGTCTACTAACAAAATAATACTGCATTCTCTGCATCCGTGTTCATACTGGCGGTGGTGTAATGTCGGGACATGGCCTTGCCTTGCTCGGACGTGGACAAAGCCGTGTGCTCAGACTGTGCTGTGTTTCAGATGAAGACCGTCTGACCAGGAGGAAGAGCTTTGTGGACACCATCTCTCTGCAGGTGGACATCATGTCCAGCAGTCTCCCTGACAAGGTAAGAGCCCTGACCCCAACACTCATCTTCACAAGTGTTTCAACAGAGAGCATACGGTGCAGCTGATCTCATCTACATTCCCCGCAGTTGTGATGTTAACTGGAGGCACTGCACAGACTAAAGCTCTGTTGATTTCTGAAAGTTTGATTTCAACCTGAGCTTTGTTTAACCTCCTAGGACCTGAACTCTTGCATGGCTTTATTGATTTATCTTTGTTCTTTGGGCTGACTTGAACCTGATGAGTGTAAAAAAGTTTTAGAACACCCTAATTTTTCCAGTTATTTATTGCAATTCAAGTCGTGCAAGTCCAATAAAGAGCTCGAAATGGTACAAAGGTAAAAACTGAACAGCCAGAGGTAAAAAAAAACAAAAAAAAAAACAAAGATAAAAGATACAAAACACAAGTCCAAGCTCTGCCAAAACGACCTCAGAAAAAAAGAACAAGATGGTAAAACTTGAAAACATGAAGTGTCCAGCAGCACAGTGTCCAGACTTAAACCTCATGGAGCTGGTTTGGGATGAACTGGACAGAAGAGTGAAGCGACCGACAAGTGCCACACATTTATGGAAACGTCTGCAACAGACTTGGGAAGAACTTTCTGAACAATATTTGATTTTTACTGTAAAAAGAATGAGTTATATCATATATCTGCCAAAGGTGGACACTTGCATGAATCAAAAGTTTAGAATATGTTTTGGTCAACAGTAAACAGTGAAAAACTAGAAAAAGATTTTAACACAGTGAAGTCAGAATTTAATAATGATTTGCAAAAACTATTAAAAGCCTGAACAGCCCAAAATGTGTTGGACTTGAATGTGGGCGCCAGGTCCTAGGAGGCTACCACAATCTGAACAAAAAAATGATTAAAAACAGAAAGACTAAATTGCAAGCACTGTGAATATTTTTATATAACTGACCTGGTGTTTCCCTCCTTAGTCTCAGCTGGCAGAAGAGATCACGTTTGAGACGCTCAAGAAAGCCATCGGTAAGGACAAGGCCTATATCAGACCAGGACCCAGACCTAGAACCCAGGGTGGACCTAGACCCAGAACGTAGAACCCAGAACCAGAACACAGACACAGAACACAGGAGGACCCAGACCTACAACCGAACCCAGGACACTAAACAAAGGACACAGACCTCGAGACCAGGACCAAACCCAGACACAGGATAAAACTTAGACCTTGACCTTGAACCCAGGACCAAATCCAGATCTAGAAACAATCCCAGGGCACCAGACGAAGGACGCAGACCTCGAGACCAGGACAGAATCCAGACACAGGGTAAAACCTAGACCTAGAACCTGAACCCAGGACCAAATCCAGATCTAGAAACAATCCCAGGGCACCAGACGAAGGACGCAGACCTCGAGACCAGGACCAAACGTAGAAACCAGACATAGGATAAAACCTAGACCTAGAACCTGAACCCAGCACTGAACCCAAACCCAGGATAGAACCACAAACTAAATCTCAGACTCAGGATCGAACTCGCACCTAGAACCCTGACCCAGGACCAAATCAAGGCCTAGACCTCAGAGCCCAGAGGCAGGACTGTGCAGAGTCTGTGCAGAGTCTGAGCTTGTGTTCTGCTGCAGACACCACAGGGCTGGAGGAGCAGGAGAGGGAGAGGAGACGTCAGCTCATGGAGAAGTTCCAGAAGGCCCCGTTTGAGGAGATCGCCGCTCACTGCGAGTCCAAGGTCTGCGGGAGCTTTATCGACCGCTCGTTTTAGATTGTGTGTTCATGTTCTACTGAAGCCTGACCCTACAAATGCGCGTGGATCATATTTAGCCCTCTCAAATATTCAAAGCAAACTCAGTGTATCTAAAAATGTATGACATAGATGGAGCTGGTTTGTCAAAAATAATTGTAAGAAAACAAGAGAATAGGATCAAACTTTGTGACATGATAAAGTTGAGGGTTGGAGAAGAGGCTGTTGCGTTTTATTGGATTGTCACATTTTATTTACTGTTGTGTGGTTTGTGTTCTTGTTCTGACTTGATGCTTGTGTTTCAGGCGACCATGCTGCACGACAAACTGGCTCAGATCTTTGAGCTCACAATACGGTGAGTTTTACAGAGCACAACTTTTACAGAGCATGAGTTTTAAGAGTTTTAACAGAGCAGAGTTTTTATTTATTTAAGCACAAATTTTGTGTTTAATTGAATAATGGAAAAAAAACGGATAGCGGCCGTTTCCTGTTTCTGTGACTTAAATTGCGATGTCGGACTTTTGTGGCATTTTATTTTGAAAAACGAATGATACATGGATTTTCTTTAAACTAGCAAGCAAACTTAAAAATGTTAACCCACGAAGCTGTTTTTTATTTTATTTGATGTGTGTGCAGTGTGCTTCAAATTAAAGGTTGTATAGAGGATTTTCCAAGGAACGAGAAATCCAGCGACTGTTTGTCCTTTTTCAAATGTTGCGCATGCGTGAAACCACCCCCCCTCCCCTACAGCTCCTACGTAGAAACGCCTCCTCCCTCCTCCTCCTTACGCCAGAAACAGGTTTGTTTACAGCCGGTGCTGCACATGACTTGTAAACAACTAACTACAGTGTTGGTTAGGCAAGACGGAGAAGTGAGGAGCGGGGGGAGCGGGTGTGCGGACATTTCGTTCGCGGACGAGAAGTGAGGAGCAGGAGAGAGGAGAGAGGAGAGGGGAGCGGTGCGCGGAGATTCCGTGCCCGGAGAAGTGAGGAGCAGGGGGAAGAGCGGATCGGGCAGCGGGGAGAGGAGCAGGAAAGGGGTGCAGAGAAGGTTGCGCGGAGATTCAGTGCGAATGAACTAGCTACAACACGCAGCAGCAAGCGGACTCTTTCTTTGCCTTGAAAATTACGTTTTCAGACATAGGATATCGCTTTCGTGTCCTGAAAAACGTTTGTCTAGCTCTTGGAAATAAAGTACGTTTTCATAATAAGCAGAAGTTTCCTGTCCAGGAGTAATTTGTGGACCAGTGCGTCAGTCTTTAGACCCTGCGTCTGCTTCAGTCGCGCCATCGCTGGAATGAATCTTCAAGAATCACCTTAGTTTGGCTTCGCTGCTTTTCCCCTTGTCTTCTTCTTTCAGTGACCTCAAAAACGGACTTTCTTTTGCGGCTAACTGCTCCTGGATTCTTGTCGCCATTGCAACAAACTTTGTGCGAACTGCGAGGAAGATATAGGTCAAAAAAAGCCGCTAAGAACTGTTGCGTTGGTGGAGTAAACAGCGTCTGTGCGTCTTGCGTCTGTGGACTGCGTGACAGGCGTACGTAAAGCCACGTACCGGCGCGCAGGCAAGTCAGTTACACTAGAAACGTAGGGAGATTGATTGACAGCCTGTCAGCTCACAGATAACGAGGCAGTGTCGTTATCTATTGGCAAATGTTTAGCCCCACCACGTCCAGAGTTGATGAATTTTTATTCTCTTTTTTTTGGTCATCATAATTACAAGGCTACTGCACCTCTATAATCTATCATTGACAATTTGAAACAAAAAAAATCCTCCATACAACCTTTAACTGCAGTTCAATTGACAGTTCTCTCTGAGGATGTCTTGGTTGTGGCCCTAAACAACCATTTAGTCTGTTTCTGCCCCGGTCTTACCCTGAGTACATGACTTTACAGTGTACGGAACAGGAGGGTCTACTCTGCTCATTGAGTCTTTGTAAATCATGTTATTATAAACCAGATTCTGTGATGCAAAACAAAGGCAAATTATAATTCAAGTAATTCTATTCATGTTGTGTGTGTATGTTCTCTGTAGAATACATGAAAATCATACCATTTCTTTTTGGAATATGGATATAGACAACTCATTTTGTATCTACATTTTTAGTCATAGTTTTAATCCTCAAGTATTACTCTGATGAAACCTACAACAACATACATTAGTTGAGTTTTAAATAAATACCATATTTTTTGGACTCTTAAGTCGCACCAGACTATGAGTCACACTTTTTGGGGGATATTTCATCTTGAAAAGTCAAGTTCTAGTAAAAACAATAGAAGAGAGAACAACAGACTGTTAAAGTCACATATGAACAGTTCTTCAGATAAACTATAACATAAACAACAGAACAGAACAAGTTTAACAAACTCTCCATCTCACTCCAAATCACTAAATCCATTCAATTCTTCATCCTCGGTGTCACTTCTGAACAACTCCACGACCTCCGGAGGTAAACAGAGCGCCACTTCCTCAGCATCAGTTCCAGTTAGAATTATTCTGGTCTTTCTGAATCCCGACAGGATGGTTTCAGTGTCACTGAAGTCCAGACTTTGTCCATCCATCCAGTGACTTCCAGGAAAGTTTCATGGTGCATCCTCCCGGTGTCACAAGTTTCTCTCTCACTCCAAACTTTCTTTCTGCTGCTCGATTATCGTTTTCAGCTGCAGATTTCACGACTTGCAGTTTGTGATCTGCAAAATCTGGCTTTCTTTTTGGGGGCATTTGTGTTCAGTCTTCTCAGTCGTCTTTATAAGTTTGTTTAGATGTTAAATTGTTCAGTGGTGCAGAAGTAATGGTGCGATCGACTGACATGATACAGACAGGACAGAGGCTCTTTCTGCAGGAGACATGCGCAGTAGAGCCAAGTGACAGTGGTACAGGAGGAACAGGAGCAGCAGATACTCACACACAAGACTAGAACCTCTCACCGCTTCAGTTTGAAAACTTTAATATATAAGTCGCAGGAAACACCCAAACCGTGAAAAAAAGTGCCACTTATAATCTGAAAAATACGGTACTCTTTAGAGACTAACCTCCGTCTCTCTTTTTTCTGTCCGCAGCCCTCCCCCCAGCCCGTCTGGAGTAAACCTGTCCAGCGGTCACCCCCAGCACCAGTCTGTCCCCGTGTACGAGATGAAGTTCCCCGACCTGTGCGTCTACTGACCACTTAGCCCCGCCCCCTGCAGGCTGCGGCGCGCCCCTTCCAGACACGCCTCGGCCGACCGCAGGACTCCGCGCTGTACATAGCCACCGTTGAAAAAAGCACTTATCATCACTTTATGTCTACAGCTCGCAGACAGTGACATTTGAATCTAGATCAAATTCTTTTAACATGCTTCCATCTGAGCCATTGAACGCACCACCAGCCCCGCTTGCGGTTCAGTTAAATCCTCGAGTCTTGACGCACAGATTATTAAAGCAGACATATTGTGCAAAGTTGACGGGAGTTTTCCTCCTCACTGACGCGCTGAAGTTGTATTTAAGAGAGATTCGTGCATTTTTGAGTCGTCGTTATTCTCCTGTTTTCAAGACAACGCGGGTGTAGTGGGCGAGGGGACGACGAAAGATAAAAAAACAAAAAAAAAAAAACTAAAATAAAATAACTACAACTACAACTTAAATGTCAAACCGGAGCTATTGGGAATGGTGAAAATAAACTGCATAAGCTCATGAAATCTGCACTACTGTCCTATAGAGATCTAAACCAGGACTAAAACAGGTCTAAAACAAGACTGAACCAGGACTGAACCAGGTTTAAACCAGGTGTAAAACAGGACTAAAACAGGTCTAAAACAAGACTGAACCAGGACTGAACCAGGACTGAACCAGGTTTAAACCAGGTGTAAAACAGGACTAAAACATGAGGACTAAACCAGGACTGAACCAGGAGGAATAAACCAGGAATAAACCGGGACTGAACAAGAAGTAAACCAGGACTAAACCAGGACTGAACAAGGACTGAACAAGGACTAAACCAGGACTAAACTAGAAATAAACCAGGACTGAACCAGGAGGAATAAACCAGGACTGAACTAGAACTAAACCAGGACTAAACCAGGACTAAACCAGGACTAAACTAGAACTAAACCAGGACTAAACCAGGACTGAACAAGGACTAAACCAGGACTAAACCAGGACTGAACCAGGACTAAACCAGGACTAAACCAGGACTAAACCAGGACTGAACCAGGACTGAACCAGGACTAAACCAGGACCAAACCTGCACTAAAACAGGACTGATCTCAGGACTAAACCTAGTCCTAAAACAGGACTAAATCAAGACTGAACCAGGACTAAAACAGAACTGAACCAGGACTGGGTGTCGGGATGGGCCTGGGGATGCACCTATGTAGACCGTCGGGTGACCACAGGAGAAAGAACCGGTGCAGAGTCGCCCGATGGCGCTTTGTGAGCTCCCTGCTCCACGAGCTCGGGGTTCTCCCTCTGTCTCAAGTCCAAGATTAATCCTTGTTTAGTCCTGGTTTAGTCCTGGTTTAGAGTTCATGTGTTGTAGTCTATTATTTATGTTCTGTAGGTGATTATAAACGCATCATTTTGAGTAAAAAATCATCAAATATTACAGATTTTTACTGGATTGACACCTTTATTTTCGTACTGAACGTGATTTTTTTAGTTTTTTTTTTTTTTAAAGGTATGTAAGTGGGCGGGATTAATCACATCGATGACGGATGACGTCACGAATCGCGTACCCCGACTTAAAAAAAATCCCCACTACACCAGTGCTCCAATCTAACCACCTTTTCACCTCCACTGTGACACACGCGCTTCCTTCTCCAATTTTATTTTCTTAATCGGTCATTTTGGCACAAGTTGAAACACTCCGCCGCTCTCTTGCATGACGCCGATCTCCAAACTCGACGCTTTGTTGTGATGACGTTTAACTCGTTTTACTGCGATTTAAAAACTCCAAAAGCACAATATGTCTTCTTTAAAACACCGACATTATTCTTACCACGAATAAAACTAGACTATAGATTTAAACAGAGCGCTAAACAGTAGAAGTCCTAGTATTGCAAGTATTCGGTGTGAGTGTATGAGTCTTATTACGAGCTTTTGAGAATTTCTTGCCGTGTCAAAACCTCTAGTGCTCAGGTCGGTACGTGACGATGGAGCGACAAGTGTGAAAAACGTGTTTTCGTGTATGCATTTAGTGTGTCCAAGGGCTGCACTCAGCAATAAAACTATCTTACACTTCAGAATGTAAACGCGGCAAACGCTTAAAGACGCTAAAAAAAAAAAAATACCTTCAATGAATATTTGGAGTTTTGACACTTTACAATTTTACATCTAAACTCTCTGTAATGATAATAATGAGTCTTAGTTGTGAGAAATATGCAACAAAAACTAAATTCTTAACAGCTCACTTATCAAATAGAGTATAAATATAATCTTTGTAAATGCAGTAGTCGTTTCCGAGGCCGTAGATGTATCCCAAAGCAAATATCGGCGCAGTAAATGCAATTCCTCGCTATCTTAAAATGTATAATCCATATATTCTACTTCAAAAATGATACGCTTGTTATGAAATTGCTTGCATAAAAACATTGCATTCGTATATATATATAAATCAGGCTGGATGCACCGATCAAAATCAAAACTCTGGTTACGTTCACGATGTTCTAGAAATTGGAAGTCCGTAAATCTGAAATACTAATCTCGTGGAAAATGTAATTCCTTCTGCTTTACGTGTATTTGAAATTTTTGGTTTTAGTAATTCAGCTTTGAGTCAGTTTTTGTTTCGTTTATTGCTGACCTTCTCTGTACTTTGAGGGGTGTAGTGGACATGGGACACGAGGGAACGTCGTCCATCCGCTTTTCCCAACGTGAGAAATAAAAAAAATAAATAAATATAGAATAGTTTACAACTTAAATGTCAAACTGGAGCGACTGGCAATGGTGAAAACAAACTGCACAGGCTCATGAAATCTGCACTACTGTCCTGTAGAGACCTGAGACATGAGGGACCAGGACTGAACCAGGTCTAAAACAGGTCTAAAACGGGTCTAAAGCAGGTCTAAATCAGGCCTGAACCAGGTCTGAACAAGGAGGACTAAAGCAGGAATAAAACAGGACTGAACCAGGACTGAACCAGAACTGAAAAAGGACTAAAACAGGTCTGAGCCAGATCTAAACCAGGACTGAACCAGAAGGACTGAAACAGACTGAACAGAACTGAAACAACTGAAACAAGACTAAAACAGGTCTAAACCGGGGCTTAACCAGGTCTAAATCAGGACTGAAACAGGACTAAAACAGGTCTAAACCAGGACTGAATCAGGAGGACTAAACCAGGACTGAACCAGAAGGACTGAAACAGAACTGAAACAAGACTAAACCGGGTCTTAACCAGGTCTAAACCAGGACTGAAACAGGACTAAAACAGGTCTAAACCAGGACTGAATCAGGAGGACTAAACCAGGACTGAAACAGAACTGAAACAAGACTAAAACAGGTCTAAACCGGGTCTTAACCAGGTCTAAACCAGGACTGAAACAGGACTAAAACAGGCCTAAACCAGGACTGAATCAGGAGGACTAAACCAGGACTGAACCAGAAGGACTGAAACAGAACTGAAACAAGACTAAACCGGGTCTTAACCAGGTCTAAACCAGGACTGAAACAGGACTAAAACAGGCCTAAACCAGGACTGAATCAGGAGGACTAAACCAGGACTGAACCGGAACTAAAACAAGACTGAAAAGGGACTAAAATAGGATTAAAACAGGGCTAAAACATTTCTAAACCAGAACTGAACCAGGACTGAACCAGGACAGTGTCGGGACGGGCCCGGAGGTGCACCCGTGTAGACTGTCGGGTGACCACTGGCAAAATGACCGACACAGAGCTCAGCGCCTCACAGGGCTACGATTAGTCCTGGTTTAGTCCTGGTCTAGTCCTGGTTTAGACCTGTTTTAATCCTTGTTTTAGAGCTAGTTTAGTCCTGGTTTCTTGTGTCTGTAGGTGATTATAAACGGCGTTAATGTTAATAACAATCTCGTACCCCCACTTAAAAAAATCCCCACTGCCTTGATCTAAATGTCAACATGAATTATTTAAATAGAATTGTCAAAAAATATAAAAAATCGGATACTAATCAAGGCAAGACAAAATTGCCACAGTGGAAAATGATCTCGAGATTTTTTTCCTCACATTTTTACACTCGCCTTAGATAAAAAAAAGGGGTTAACTTTCCACAAAATATAATATGTTTTTTAAGAAGATATTCAAAAAGAAGGATAATGGGTTAGAAAAAAAAAAAAATTGGTTCAAGGTAGTTTGAAATAGTTTGTTTTTCTATTTCTGATTTACTTTTCGAGTCTTGAGAAGCTGTAATTCTAAAAAAAATTCCGTGCTACAGTGACAACAAAACTATAAAAGTCAAAATCATGAACATTTATTTAGGAAAAAATTATATCAAAATCTCGTGTCTTGTGTCGATCTGGTGAGCCGAATCTTGTATCATATCGTCTTGTAGAAACTGTCTCAATACGAAAACTAAAACTAGTATCGAAACTAGATTCTCATTTGAGCTGGAATCGATAAAAAAAAAGCGGATGTTGCGACGCCGTTTGAACTTATCCCGAAACACTCTTAAAACGTACCTGAAGTTTGATATTTTTTTGGTGCATCCCGGCGTTAAACCTGCAGTAAGTTTCATTCATATTTATATACATCTGTGGGCTTCATCAGCAATATCCAAGCGCCATTATTGATATCGTATCGTATTTTAAGCCAGCGCGACGTGTGTAAACCAGCATTTTTACCGTCTTGACGTCTTCCACGGCTCCCCCTTTAACCCTCCACCCCTTTGGCATGGCCGTAGTGTTCACGAGGCGGAGAGCGAAGGCAGGTGAAGGCAGGTGAAGGCAGGTGAAGGCAGGTGAAGGTAGATCTGTCGGGGTTTTATTCGAGAGAGAGGACGAGATGGATACAGGAAGTGCTTGAGTGGCTCTAGAACACATTTAAAAGGTAAACTATGGAAAAAAATGACTGTAAATGTTAAATACTTAAAGTGCAAATGACAAAGTTAGTTTTTAAATTGTTGAAATAGGCCTAATTATATTTCAGAATCGTGCCTATCGTATTTTTCGAACTATAGCAACAGCCAAAAATGCGTAATGGAGAGAAATAAAACAAAACAAAATGAAAAAAACAACCATTTTCTTCATTATTTGCCTCCAAAACCAAAATAAAAAATAAGAAAACAGATAATGATTAGGTTTTTTTTTTTCAATTTTTGATTTAGTGTTTAAATGAAAAATGGAAAAAAAAAAAGGATAACGGCCGTTTACGTGACTTAAACTGTGACGCCGGACTAATCCAGGACTGAACCGAGGACTAAACCAGGACAAAAACAGGACGAAAACAGGACGAAAACAGGACTAAACCAGGACTAAACCAGGACTAAACCAGGACTAAACCAGGACTAAAACAGGACTAAACCAGGACTAAAACCAGGACTAAAACAGGACTAAAACAGGACTAAACCAGGACTAAAACCAGGACTAAACCAGGTCTAAACCAGGTCTAAACCAGGTCTAAAACAGGACTAAAACAGGACTAAACCAGGACTAAACCAGGACTAAACCAGGTCTAAACCAGGTCTAAACCAGGTCTAAACAGGCCTAAAACAGGACTAAGCCAGGACTAAGCCAGAACTGAACCAGGACTAAACCAGAACTAAACTGGTCTCAGTCCTGGTCTGGTCCCAGTCTCAGTCCTGAGCTTGTCCCGGTCTTGGTCCTGGTCCCGGTCCCATTCTGGTCCCATTTCAGTCCTGGTCTCAGTGCTGATCTTGTCCCGGTCTGGTCCCGGTCTCAGTCCTGATCACCCGACAGTCTACGCGGGCGCAACTCCGGACCTGTCCCAACACTCAGTCCTGGTTCAGTCCTGGTTCAGTCCTGGTTCAGTCCTGGTTCAGTCCTGGTTCAGTCCTGGTTCAGTCCTGGTTCTGTTTGTATGCGGTGCAAAAGTCCGACATCGTAGTTTAAGATGAAAAAAAACAACAAATCTTTATCCGTTTTTTCATTTTGATTTTGGAGACAAATAATGAAGAAAATTGTTTTTTTTTTTCATTTTCTTATTTTTGGTTTTATTTTGAAAAACAAATGACACACGGATTCTTAAACTTAACTAAACTCTAACTTTAACCAAAACCTGTTTCCGAACTTAAAAAATATCCGTTTATTATTCTGTATCACTTCGAATAATCCCTTCCAATCCGACATTCTAACTACTTCCTGTCATTTTTCAACTTTCCATCCCAAATTTAAACATTCATGATCATATTTAATCATATTTACGACAAAACACAGTCAGAATTAAACGTAAAAACCTGACATATGCTAAAAAAAACCATCCATGACCTAACACTAGTATCATATGCATTTCCTTTGCTGTGAGTGATCATATTTGGGCGTCCCGGGCGGCAGACAAAGGGG